AAGGAGGAGAAAGTGAACATGAAGGTGAAATCGAAGCAGAAGGAGAAGGTGAACATGAAAGTGAAATCGAAGTGGAAGGAGGAGAAGGTGAACCTGAAGGTGAAATCGAAGAAGGAAAAGGCGCGGATGAATATGATAGTGAAGATGAACTCCTAGCAGAAGGAAAAGTAACTGATGAAGGTGGAGGTGAGCTCCAAGCAGAAGATGGTGAAATGAAAGCTGATGAGGGCGAAAATGAAGAGCAGGAACTCAGTGCTGAAAGTCAGGGTGAAGCCAAAAGTGATGAGAAAAGTAGAGATGGTGAAGGGGGAGGTGAAGGAGGTGGAAGTGAAGATGAAGACGAGGAGGAAGATGAGGAGGAAGACGAGGAGGAGGAGGAGGAAGAGGAGGAGGAGGAAGACGAGGCGGCAAATGAGGAGCCTTTGTCCCTGGAGTGGCCCAAGACCAGGCAGAAGCAGGCCATTTACCTGTTCCTCCTGCCCATTGTGTTCCCACTGTGGCTGACCGTGCCCGACGTCCGGAGGCTGGTGAGTGTGGCCAGCTGTGCCCCAGGGAGGCTGTGGAGTCTCTAGGCACTCTCACACAAGAGGTGAGAGGACGGGGCAAGCTGGCTTGGCAGGGCTCAACCAGAGACTATCCAGGATGCACCTTGCAGCTCCAGAAGGGACCACATGCCTAGGGGGACGTCCCGGTAGGCGTGGGAGGCCCTAAAATGTGCTTATTTCCATCACTATAAGCGTGTGAACTAGTACCTCAACTCCTATTGTCAGTTTCTTGATTTTAATATGGGAATAATGCCAAGCTCCCCCCCGCCCCTCCATATGTCACAGCGATATTCTGAAAACATAGGGGGAAAGTATTATTTCTCCCCAGCATTCTCATTTATAGGGAAAGCTCTGACTAACATGCTCTACCCAAAGGCCATCCATACTCTACCTCGAGGTCCCGAGGTGCGTAGAGCAGCAGGAGGTTGTAGATACCACACCAAACACCTAGACCAGTCTGATTCTAGGGCAAGCAAATAGTTCTCTTCAGTTTGGTGACTGCTGAATGCCCTGCTGGCCGGACTCCCTGCGGGCCGCCAACTCCTTCCTTCCCCAGCCTCCTCCGGGTCTTCACTGGAGATCCAGATCTCAGCTGACCCATCTCCAGACCCTCTCCATCACTCCCCTAGCAGGTCCTGTCACTGATTCTGGGGCTCCCTCGGAAGGGTCAAAGACCTTTAGCCTCTGCAACTTATTTCTCTTCCTTTTCAAACTTGCAAACAGGAGTCTAAGAAGTTTTTTGTTCTCACCTTTCTGGGATCCATCATGTGGATAGCCATGTTCTCATACCTCATGGTATGGTGGGCTCACCAGGTGAGTGAACTAAATCCTGCATCAGCGGGTCCCAGGGACACTTTTTTTTCCTTCAGGGTGAATGTCCAGTACCCAGGCAATGGTGAGGCTCAAGTGAATTTGTAGTTTCTACATTGTTTGTAAAGGCTCAAAAGTTGACTTTTCATTTCAGTGAGTATAGTATTTTCAAGTGTGGGTCTTGTCTTATAGTCATGCTGCAGCCTGACATAGAAGGCCCTTCACAGTCTGACCCAGCTGACCGTTGCTTATTAGCCTTATTCTGAGCTTTCTCTGTCACGCATGCCCCGCTCCCCTCCACCTGGTGACGTTGTGCACACTCATGAGAGCAAGCTCAGTTTTGCCTTCTTTCGGGCATTTAGTCAGTCTTCCTCTGAGTGTCCATGGCTTTTCTGTTCTGCCTGGGATTGCTGGTTACAAGTTTTTCTCTTTCACTAGGCTGGGAGTAGGGTCAGTGTTGTGGGCTCATACTTCTATCTCTGGCCTCTAACTTAGTTCCTGGCACATAGCAGGCGTCCGTGGTTCTGGAAATGGAAACATGACATGAACAAATCTTTGGAGGGGCAGTTCTTTTGGGAAGGTGGAGGTGTTGTAGTTGGAATGACAGTGAGAGGTGGTATTAAAGATAGACTTGTCCAATTTAGACAAGAGCTGCGTCATTCCCTGAAGCCTGGAGTAGGGGCTCTGCTCTTCCTCTGTGTGGCTCATCTCTCCCAGGCTAAAGGAGTGTGCTGAGCTCTGTGGAAAGGGGTTGGGTTTGTACAAAATAGCATGTGGTTGGTGCTTTGAAGAGCCTCAGATTTTTTCCCCTTGCTGTTGCCATGGTTTCTTATCACTGTAACTTTTTACCAGGTTGGTGAAACAGTAGGGATTTCTGAAGAGATAATGGGCTTGACGATCCTAGCGGCAGGCACGTCCATTCCCGACCTCATCACCAGTGTGATTGTTGCTCGGAAAGGCCTGGGAGACATGGCTGTGTCAAGCTCTGTGGGCAGTAATATATTTGATATCACCGTGGGGTGAGTGGCAAAGTTGCTTTCCAAGGCATATCAAGTATGACTGGAAAACACTGTGTTGGCTCTGTTTGCTGGTTTTCTGCTTCATTATTTATACATGGACTAAAAGGGCATTTATATTATTAGTGTCTACGAGGCAGCAAAGTGTCCTCCCTTCATTCGTCACAGCCAGATGGGATAATAGGGCAAAAATGCTGCTTGAAATGTAACTGAGTAGAATTTATAGATGAATTGAAAAACAAAGTCCACCAGATTCATTACCAAATACAGTCAAATGCTCTGCTCACTGACCTCTAAGGTGGTGGAAGTGGGGTTGGAGGGAGCAGTGACTCAGTCTCACTTCCTGATATCTCTGCTCCTTTACATTTGGGCTCCTGCCAGCTCTGAGGCTCTAAAAGCATTTTGTCTAAACAAGCAAATGCAGCATCCTCCTGTACCCCTTCTCTCACCCCCTCCTCCCAACTTGTCAGAGCAGAACCTCTGGGCTATTTTCATTTCCGCAGGCGTATCCCAGATTTGGGTAGTGGCTTTGGTTTCTTTAATTTGAATTTGTGTATGTGTGTGCGTATGGTGGGGGGGTGTGGAGCACAGGATAGCCCTGATCATTGAAGAATTTAAAGACATGTTAGCCTGAGATAGGACTTACATAAAAATTGTGAGATTAGAGAGTCAAACATCAATCCATCTGGGTTCCTCATAGGCACGTCACGAATTATGGAGAAAAAAACCCCACCTGGATCCAGAAAATTTCAGTTTTAATCTAGGGTCTTCTAGTTATTAGCTGTGAGTCCTTGGGCATGTAATTTCAACTTCCCTGAACTTAAGTTTCCTCATCTGTGAAATGGGGCTAATATGTTCTGTTCTATTTCATAGGCTTTGTGTGTGTGTGTGTGTGTGTGTGTGTGTGTATAAAAATAAGTGCTTTATAAATTGTAAAATACTGTTTATGTATGTGGGATTATTATATGTATGTAGGATTATTATATTATAAATTAAGAATATTCACATTGTTTCTTCAATCTTGCAGCCTGCCTGTCCCTTGGTTGCTCTTCTCTTTCATCAATAAATTACAGCCTGTTCCAGTCAGCAGCAATGGCTTGTTTTGTGCAATTGTTTTGCTTTTTCTCATGCTCTTGTTTGTGATCTCTTCGATTGCATCGTGCAAATGGAGAATGAACAAGATCCTGGGCTTCACAATGTTCCTCCTTTACTTTGTATTCCTGATAATCAGCGTGATGTTAGAAGATCGAATCATTTCCTGTCCTGTATCTGTCTGAGTCAGAGTCACTGTTGCTCATAATGGACATGGATCAGAAAACCATGCCAGAAGCTACTGCACTTGTTGTTACATTAATGAAAGAATGAACATGGTCCAGGAGAGTGACCGGAGTGGCCAACAACCTCTAATGGGAATGTCATCTGGGACTGAACATTATCTTTGGAAACACCAGCAGCTCGTTGTGGATTAAGAATCTCACCTCTGGAGGGATAGAGTTCCTACCCCTGACTGATGTTGGCAGCTATCGTGTGGAGGCCAGTAGGAAGGACCTCTGAAGCTAGAGGGTTTTCTGAGAGAGAACTTGGGGGTGAGGGCAGGTGCAGTCACCCATGCTCACAGTCCCTGATCATTCCTGAAGGGCTGCTGATCCAAAGATGCAGGTGTGGTCTGCACTGCACCCCCTGGCCCCTGGCCCAAGCACACGCTGCAATTTGCTGTCCCCTCTTTTCCTGTTTAAAACATGTTTTTTTTTTTTTTTAAATCAGGTTTATAAACATTACAGGTCCAGTTATTGGTGGGTTTACAGAACTAAGACTATAGGAAAAAAAAAAGTATAACAGGAATCAATTATCATTACACATCATAGTCCAGTAAAATGTGTACCAGTATTTTATAGCTTAAAAGGACTACCTTAGCTCTTATAGCTGCATTTCTGAAAACTGAAATTAAAATAAGTAGCCCAAGAAATTAAAATTTATACATCGCCCTTGAATTGGAAGTAGGGGAGATATTAGGGAAGGAAAACTACTCTAAGGGCTATTTAAACATATGTACTTACTAGAAAATCCAAGTTAGTGTTGTCTCTGCCAAGTGGTCACCTTGAGGGATTAGACACTCATACAAAGCTCTCCTGTCTCTGCTCCTCCAGCATATTCTCGCCTAACAGTGACAGCCGCTACTAGTAAGAAAAGGAGTCATTTTAAAAAGAGTCCAAAATCAGCAGAGCCAAGTCTGGTTTATAAAGTAAGAGATCCAGTGGGGTAATATTATTTTTGTGTGTCAACCTAGAGATAGGATTATAAAGCAAGATGACTGATTTCCTGTGCGGCTTACAAGTGGATCTCCAGGCAATTACAGCGGAGAAATTCCAAAAATGCTTAACATGATGACAACATGGTGAGATAGAGAATATTACTGCTTCCAATAGTTAGTGTAAAGGACTTTTGTGTTTTTAAAAATTGTGTGGCTATTTAAAACTTGCATGTGGAAATTTGAAGTGCTTGTATATTAAACACCACTGCTTGCTGCTTTTACTAACATTAAGGGACACATTCGAAATGAAACAGTGCTATGTCCCTGGTTTCAGAGCAGAAGGAGCTCAGGTGATTAGATTATGATGGTAAATATAGCTTTAATTATGAGAGGATTCATTGAAGATTAGAAGATAGCAGGACAGATGCGATGTAAAAAAAAATTTTTTTTTTGGTGTTGAAGGGCTATATTCAAAATACTTCAGTCCATAATCCATCTCTTAAGATGGGCTGATTAATGGCCTCCCTGCCCCAGGATTCACATTCTTTGGAAATGACTTCTATTAAATTTCAATAAATTGTGAGTCCCAGTGGTATTTTATTTTGCAAACATGGATGAGTTCATCTCTATCTAGGTCACTTGGTCAGAATGCTCGAGAAGACGACTACGGAAACATAGTCATTCCATATTCTTAGTTATCCTCACGGCTGCTGCTGCACTGGCCGCTCTCCATGTGGCATGACCCAAGAACAGGAGGACAGAATGAGACAGAAGGGCAATCCCAATGCCAAACTGCGCATCTGCAGCCAATTCCAGCTAGCCTCAGGGATGCCACCTCATAGCCTGGGATCCGATGCTTTCCCCCAGAATGACTGATGAGGAGTACTGGGCAGTGAAACATTTTGTTATGAGAAAGTGCTGGACAGACATTTCATGATTGAAGTCAACTCTAATGATCTAACATCCCATTCCCGATTAGTTTGCTGGATGTCTGGCATTTCGCTTTGCTTAGAGAGGAAGGTCTGATCACATCACACTACGACAGAAAGGATCAAGTGAAATGAAAACCGGGTCTTGATGGATGAATAAGAAGTCACCGGGGTGGGAGGAGAAAGGAGACTTCAGGGAGATGGAAACCTTATGTAATTTTTAAAAGATCCATTTGTTATGCTTGGAAATGAAATTTTTTGTTATATGTTTATAAATCTATAATTATTAAAATTATGCTGTTGTAGGGTGAAGGATCATCTTAAAATGTCAAGGTAATGGTGAGATGATCCTCTCATTTGATAGGCAAAGTGACCTATCTAGTCACATGGGACAGATCCCAGGTCACTCGTTCAGCCTTAGGGTGCATGAACTGTCCCACGGGGGCATCTCAGCTGGAGGACAGCGGCTGCCCAGATGACGGTTTCATCCCTCTGGAGGTTGCATTTCCTTGACGACCCTGGTGACAGATTTGGGCCCAATTTCTAAAAATGTGAACCTCTCCCTGATTTAATGGGTTAAAGTTCTATACAGTACTACAAGAAAAAAAGATTCCTTCCAAACTTTTGAAAAATGGTGTTCTGTTTAAATGTTTACATGGTAAAATGGTTGCTTCCGTCAACTGATCTAAAAATGTTTTTATCAAATTTATAGGCTTGGCCTTTGATGACACTGTTTATATCTTAATTAAAATTTATTTAAAGATTGAGTACCAAAGGGGGCAGGAACCGGATTTAGTATTTAGGGCACAGCCTGGTAGATACATTTGAAGAACTGGCTGGCCTTCCTTGCCGAAGAATACCCTTGGGGTGGGATTCCTTTTTTGTAGGAGGGTCCCTCCCCTCTCCCACCCCCAGGTGCCACTTGCAATGTGTTTTGGGACTGGTCGCCATGAAAGGTGCAGCGAGGGCTCACGATGAGAGGGGTCACTAGAGCCGAGCAGGACCCTGGCCTAAGGCTGCCTTTACAGCTAAAGGCACGCTTTGGGTCTTCAGGCCCTGTTCACTGTGATGAGCAGGCAAAACCTGAAGAATTTCATTTACCGAAAATTCTGTCAGTTGCTCCAGTGGTTTCATCACAGGACGATGTCTGATAAAAATCTATACAGACAAAAGGAGGGAGCCATGCAAATGACAGCAACCGGGGCAAGGCCGCAGAGACATCATCAGTAGAGTCTGTCACCATCTCAGAGAATAAGCACAGGGACACAGGCTTTTCGTGTAAGAGACAAATTCCTGTAGTCATTTGTGCATGGCTAATTTTTGTAAACAAAAATAATTGAGCCAGCAAGTGTACTTGCTTTGAGGCCAGAGGAAGAGGCCAGTATAAAGGGATAAGAAGAAGAGAGGAAGTGTGAGAATATTAAGAACTGACTGGTGTTCCTTCCGGTGTGCAGAAGTGAAGGCAATTCTGAAAGAAAACCGTATCCAAACCGGAAGGGCAGAGCAGGCTAGCTCTAGCAGAGGAGGGGGTCCAGGGCTCTGGTAGGGGCAGCCTGCCCTTTCCCTTGCTGCTCTGAAATAAAGTGCCTAAGAGCAGCTTTCAAGTTCTAGTGGGAGAAATAAAAATAAACCTGGGCCATCTCACATTACCATACAAACGGGTCTCCTCTAACTGTATACTTACAGAAAGAAAACATCATAGCCCTCTCTGTACACCAGGCTAACACTTGCTAGTTGCACTAAAGTAGCATAGTAATTAGCAGCATAAAGTAAAACAAGTATTTATCACCTAAAATGCTGAACCAACATCTTCTGGGGCCATTTCTCTATATCCAAAAATGTAAAAACATATTAAAAAAACTTAAAACAAAATAAGCTGGCAGTTTTACAGAGTTTTAAAGCATGCCCTCCCTCCCCGCATCCTCCAAAAAAGAAATCAGGGGGAAAAAAAGACAAAAATCAGAATATGAACAGGCTGCTAATTCCTTATCTGGCAGTAGGAGGGAAAAGTTGAATATCAAAATAAGATACAAAATACAAATGTATGACATTCAAAACACCATGGGAGGAAATAGTATACAAGTTATACCAGGACACAGCATGGTTTATTTTCCACTATTAAACATATAAACAAAACTAAGAGTAAGAAAACAAGAGACAGATAATGTAGCAAAAATGTATTTCTCTCCAACACGATTGGCCATGATTCTTCAAAATGTATCCTCAACAGAGAGAAAATCAAAGAAAAGTTTAGAGTTATTTTAAAGGATGATCTAGATTTTAGGTTTCTTTCGAGCAGTGTTCACCGCTTTCTATTCATGTTCTGGGTTTTAAAGACTAAATTTGTACAAATAATAGTCCCTAGGGATTAAAAGTGGGGAGGGGGAACTCAACCAAAAGCAGAAACAAAACTTTGTGTGTGGGGTGGGGGGAAGGAGATAAAAAATTATACTCACTTTTCCATTTGAGTTTGAACCAGAAAGGATGGGCTTTACCTCACTTTTTTTGGTCTGCTATTTGAAATCCATCCGCTATAATTCCTACATATAGAGTGTGTTGAAGAAAAGTTAAACAACTTCCACAAACAGTAAAAGCTGTTCCTCTAAGGGAAAGAAAAACATGCACCAAAAACCAGAATAGAACCCCAGAACCCTATTTGGAGGGAGGTTTGTTGCCAATGCCCATAGCCTCCCCTATCAAATGTTTCTCTCATTTGACAATTTTCAAGTGATTTAGGGAACAGAAGACTCCGTTAGAATGTGAAACCTGGATATGAATAGTAAAGGAGAAGATTGGAGTTGTATTTACAAAGGAAAGGCATATATATATATATATATACGTGCATAGCACCAGATTTTTCAAGTAAGCAAGTTCAGCGTCAAACTAATCTGAACCAAAATTTCACATTTGTAAACTCTCCCCCTTACTTCCCCAGTGGAAAGCTGTGGAATGTGTCAGCTTGATGCTATTCACTAATGGTGTGAACTCAAAAGGTAGTTTTTCTGCAGCTGAATTGATTCGAAGTCTCAGATATCCCCAGTACAAGTGTGCTGCACTCTACTGGCTTTACAGACCAAATCTGGAACCATCCATTTTTTCCTTCTTTGAAAGTGTCTAGAGAATTCCTTCATTCGTGACAATGTGTGCAACCATACACACACACATACTGATAATCTATAAATAATTCTAACAGCCAAAGGATACTTTTTATCAGAAATTACCCAAAGAAAGTGATTTTTGAAATAATGGGACTAAAAATATTTTTTTAGAGTCTCTTTAATACCCTTGGTGCTTAAACATTCAATTTATTGTCTGATTTCTGGATATTTCTGGATTTTAGATTCCATAAACTTCAGATTCTGAAGTCTTATCGAAAAAGCCAAGTTCCTCAATATGGGAAATTCTATCTGGCTGTACTTTGAGAGTTATTGTTTTTCTACTTTTGAAAAAATATTTTGAATATTTTATATATATATATATATATAATATTAACAGAATAACCCAGGAGGTCATATTCCAGATAAATATGACACAATCTGCATCATCCCCAATATTTTAGATATTAAAATAAGGGTAAAATTTGGAATAAGTTGTCTGACATATTTCCCAGCATGTAGCATATTAAAATTTAAATTGATATTTGGTTTTGTAAGCTATCCCTGTGTACTGTATGCATCTGTTAGTGATAGAGAAGATTTTCAAATCATGGTATATTGAACCTGATTTTGCAGAAGCAGACTTGGAACCTTTCCGGCTCTCCTTCCACAAGGCTCAATGAGTCAGTGTGGGCAGTGCACACCTTTGCTTTCATTCACTCACTGCGGTCAGGCTTAACGGTACTAACATGCAAGCCTAGCATAACACGGACACTAGCACTGACGTTTCTGAATCATTCCCCCAGGTAATAAAAATATATAGATAAGATAGATAGATATACATTTAGAGATCGGCAGCTGTACTAATTACTTCAAATAGCAGCAGACAAGGAAAATAAGCACTTAATCGCTTGCTTCATAAGTTTAAGTTCGTTTTGTTTGCTATATTAAGTTTAAAAATTAAAAAAATATCAACTTACTATAAACAATTTAAAATATGTATAATACAACTTCATGGTCAAAACATTTGAATAGTCTATGAAAACAGGAAATACTTTGATCTTACATTTGTTTAAGTTCCATACATGATTTTTCAATGTGTCTCTTCCAAGAGAAACCATGAAACGGTTGTCTTATTTTGAGAAGTAATTTTGTTTTAGGGATTTCCTCGTCACAAAAATAATTACTTGTTACAGGAGAGTAAAGGAAAAAAAAGGAAATGGGAAACAAAATGGCTTTCTCCTCACTTGTCACTCTTCTCTTTTGAAAACATTCTGTACATAAGCTATCTGGACTTTTGGAACCATTTACAAATGCATTTCCAAAAATTGAAGAAAAAGAGTTGAGAGTCTTCAAGTGTTATTTTATACATGTGGACTATACAATACATATTGAAAGTATACACACACGTGCATATCTTAAAGATAAGGTTCTCCAAAAGTTTTTCGACATTCCATCACCCCTGTACTTGGTGGTCTATCACAGTTGTGTGTACTCTTGACTTGACTAGGTGTGAGGCGATCATATGCCATCTTGTATTCTTTATCAAACGCATCTGCAAAAATTCACAAGGAAATAAGGGCATTCAGCAATTTATACTCGATATTAACAACAATCACATTTTTGTAATATTACAGAACTAGAAAATTAGAGGCCAACAAGAAATCTCTAGGTCACTTCTGCCAACTAAAAGACTACAGAATTTCAGAGCCCAAACAGGGGCCTTAAAGTCCTTAGCATTTTATTATTTTTTGTTTTTTGAGAAAGAACATTTTTATTTTTTATCTTTTAAAGATTTTATTTATTTATTTGACACACAGAGAGAGACAGCACAAGCGGAGGGGAGAGACAGAGGGAGAGGCAGACTACCTGCTGAACAGGGAGGGAGCCCTATGCGGGGCTCTATCCCAAGACCCTGGGATCATGACCTGAGCTGAAGGCAGACGCTTAACCAACTGAGCCACCCAGGCGCCCCAGTCCTTAGCATTTTAGAGCTAGATTAGACAGACCAATGAAATTTAAAGTTTTGAGATGCCTTCTTTTTAAGATTCTTTTTTTCCAAATTTAAAGATTGTGGTAAAATACATATAAAATTTACCGTCTTAACCATTTTTATAGTTTGATGGTATTACAAACCTTCATAATGCACAACCATCACCACCATCCATCTCCGTAACTCTTTTCCTTCTGTAAAACTGAAACCCTATACCCATTAAACAATAATTCTCCGTTCTCTCCTCCCCTCCCCTGTCAACTACCATTCTACTTCTGTCTCTATGATTTTGACTACGCTAATAACTGTATGATTGTCTTTTTGTGACTGGCTTATTTCATTTAACATTATGTCCTCAGGGTTCATCCATATTGTAGTATGTGCCAGAAGTTCCTTCTTTTTTAAGGCTGTATAATATTCCATTGTGTGCATAGACCACATTTTGCTTACTCATTCGTCCTTCAATGAACACATGGATTGTTTCCACATTTTAGCTATTATGAATAATGCTGCTATGAACATGGATGTACAAATATCTTTTCCAGATCCTGCTTTTAATTCTTTTGGGTATACACCCAGAAATGTAATTGCTGGATCATAGGAAAATTCTATTTTTAATTTTTTAAGGGAATTGCCATACCATTTTCTAAGCAGCTGTACCAATTTACGTTCCCAACAATAATGTACAAGGGTTCCAATTTTCTAAATCCTCACCAACGCTTGTTATTTTTGTTTTGTTTTGTTTGATAGTAGCCAGCCTAACAGTTGAGGTAGAACCCCACTGTAGTTTTGATTTGCATTTCCTTAATAATTAGTGATGTTGAGCATCTTTTCATGTGCTTAGTGGACATCTGTATGTCTTCTTTGGAGAAATGTCTATTCAAGTTCTTTGCCCATTCTGAATTGGCTTGGGTTTTTTTGTTGAGTTTTAGAAATTTAAAAAATCTATTCTGGATATTAATCCTTCATCAGATATACAATTTGTAAATATTTTCTTCCATTCTGTGGGTTGCCTTTTTACACTGCAGATACCACCTTTTGATGCACAATATTTTAAATCTTCATGAAGTCCAATTTTTGTATTTTTTCTTTTGTTGCTTGTGCCTATGGTGTCACATCCAAGAAATCAATGCCAGATCTAATATCATGAAGGATTTTTGTCCTGTTTTCTCCTGAGAGTTTTATAGTTTCAGATCTCATATATAGGTCTTCAATCCATTTTGAGTTAATTTGTTTTATAAGGGGGCCCAACTTCATTCTTTTGCATGTGGATATCTGGTTTTCCCAGCATCATTTGTTGAAATGACTGTCCTTTCCCCAGTGGTGCTCTTGGCACCACTGTCAAAAATCATCTGACCGTATATGTGATGTTTTATTTCTGGGCTCTCCATTCACTTCCATTGGTCTATATGTCTGTCTTTATGACAGTACCATGCTGTTTGGATTATTGTAGCTTTGTATTAAGTTTTGAAATCAGTATTGTGAGTCCTCCAGGTCTGTTCTCTTTTAAGATTTTGGTTACTTGGGGTCCCTTGAGATTTCATATAAATTCTAGGATAGGTTTTTCTATTTTTGTAAAAAACATCATTGAGATTTTGATAGGGGTTGCATTGAATCTAGAGACTGCTTTGGGTAGTACTGATATCTTAAAAATACTGGTCTTTCAACTATATGAAAATGGGATGTGTTTCCATTTATTAACGTCTAATTTCTTTCAGCAATGTTCTGCAGTTTTCATTGTATAAGTCTTTTGCCTCCTTGGTTGAACAAATTCCTAATTATTTTATTCTTTTTGATGCTACTGCAAATGGAATGGCTCTCAATTTTATTTTTAGGTTATTCATTGCTAATAGCAGAAATAATGATTGATTTTTGTATCTTGATCTATCATGCAACCTTGCGGAAATCATTTATTAATTGTAATGGTCTGGGTGGTTTGGTTTTGTTTTTGGAGTGGAACAGTGAGGGTTTTCTATATATATAATCATGTCATCTATGAATAGAGATAATTTAACTTCTTCCTTTCCAATTTGGATGCCTTTTATTTCTTTTTCTTTCCTGGCTGCTCTGGCTAGAACTTCTAATACCGTGTTGCCTTGTTCCTGATCTTAAGGGGAAGCCTTTCCATTTTTCACCATTGAGTATGGTGTTAATTTGGGGTTTTTCATAAATGCTCTTTATCAAATTGACGACGTTCCCTTCTATTCCTAGTTTGTTGATTTCGCCAAATGCTTTTTCTGCATCTACTGAGATATGTGTGTCTTTTTCTTTTTTTTTAAGATTCTATTTTTAAGCAATCTTTACACCCAATGTGGGGCTTGAACTCACAACCCTGAAATCAAGAATTGCATTCTCTACTGACTGAGCCAGCCAGGTTCCCCGGAGATATGTGTGTCTTTTATTCTATTAATATGGGTTACATTGATTACATTGATCGGGTTTTGTATATTGAACCAACATTGCATTCCTGGGATAAATCCCAGTTGGTTGTGGAACAGAAACCTTTCTAAATATTGCCAGATTTGGTTTGCCAGGATTTTGTTTTATTAATACGGGATATTGCTCTGTAGTATTCCTTTCTTGTGATGTCTTTGGTAATATTGGCTTCACAGAATGAGTTAGGAAGCACTCCTTTTTCTTCTACTTTTGTAAGAATTTGTGAAGGACTAATGTCTTAAATTCAGGCTGCTACAACAGAATACCAGAGACTGGGTGGCTTAAGTGATGAACATTTATTTCTCACAGCTCTGGAGGCTGGAACAACTAAGATCAAGGCTACGGTAGCATTATCTGGTGTCTGGTGAGAGCGCTCTTCCTGGTTTGTCTACGGCTGTCTTCTCCCTTTATCCTTAACGTGGCAGAGAGAGGGACAGCTCTCTTCTTCTTTTAAGGATATTAATCCCATTTTTGGGGGCTCCAACCAAATGATGTTATTGCTTCCCAAGGGCCCTACTTCCAAATACCATCACGTTAGGGCTACATACGAGATAGATAGGACACAAACATGAAGTCCATCACAATTAGTGTTAATCCTTCTTTAAACATTTGATAGAACTCACCATCTGGTCCTGGGTTTTTCTTTCTGGGAAGCTTTTTGATTATCAACTCAAACTATTTACTTGTTATAGCTCTATTAAGGTTTTCTATTCTAGAGTCAGTTTTGTAGTTTATGTCTTTGTAGGAATTTGCCTATCTCTTCTGGGTTATGGAATTTGTTGGCATATAATTATTTATTGTACTCCCTTATAATTCTTTTTATTTCTGGAAAGAATATCCCCTTTTATTCCTGATTTCATTAATTTGAGTCTCCTCTCTTTTTCTCCTAGTCTAACTAAAGATCAACTTTATTGATCTTTTCAAAGAGCCAACTTCGATTCTAATGAGTTTCTCTATCTTTTAAAAATAGTTTTTCCCAATTTTTTCTTTATTTCATTTATTTCTGCTGTAATATTTATTATTTCCTTTCTTTTGCTTGCTTTGGGTTCAATTTGCTCTTCTTTTTCTGTTTCATAGGTTATGTAGGTACATATAAGTTCCTATATGATTAATTTTCCAGTTGAACATTAGAATCATTTGTCAAGTTTCTTATTTTTAATAGTTTCCAGTGTTTCATAACCATTATAGTTTTTTTTTAAAGATTTTATTTATTTATTTGACAGAGAGAGAGAGACAGCGAGAGAGGGAACACAAGCAGGGGGGAGTGGGAGAGGGAGAAGCAGGCTTCCCGCTGAGCAGGGAGACCAATGCAGGGCTCGATCCCAGGATCCTGGGATCATGGCCTGGGCCGAAGGCAGACACTTAACAACTGAGGCACCCGGGTGCCCCTCACAACCATTATAGTTAAAAAACAAATATTCTGGGCACCTGGGTGACTGAATCGATTTAAGCATCTGATAATTGATTTCGGCTCAGGTCATGACCTCAGGGTCATGAGATTGAGCCCCAAGTCCATCTCTGCACTGGGTATGGAGTCTGCTTAAGAGTCTCTCTCTCCCTCTGCTCTCCCCCCCTGGCCCCAGCCACGCACATGCACAGCTCTCTAAAAAAAAACCCCCAAACCAGAAAAACCCCCAAACCAAAAAAGCACAAATATTTACAACATTCTGTCCAAAGCCCTCTGGTTGCAATTTGAACCCATTCATTCTTTTCCTTTTTATTTTTTTAACATTTTATTTTTTTTGAAGAGTTTTATTTTTTTATTTTTTATTTATGTGAGAGAGAGAGCACAAGAGAGGGTAGGGTCAGAGGGAGGAGCAGACTCACTGCTGAGCAGGGAGCCTGATGTGGGACTCAATCCTGGGACCCCGGGATCATGACCTGAGCCGAAGGCAGTCGCTTAACCAACTGAGCCACCCAGGAGCCCCTCTTTTCCTCTTTTTAATGGAAAGTGCAGCTCAATACATTCATACAGTATTTATTTACAAACAAAATTATAGGTTAAACACAGTTATGCTTCCATTAGCCTTCTCCATCAAATAGTCCTTAATTCTAAAAAAGTTTTACCTTTCTTACTGGAACTTGTCCAGATTTTTCCACCTTTATTTCAACTAGGAAATCTATGACTTAAGGTAACTTCTGAGTACAATGTTCCTCGGTTATATTTTTCTGGGTCATATTTTTTTCCAAACAAAGATACCAAACACTGATCTCTTCTGGGCTCAGATTTATAGCTAAAATGTTCAAAAGCCACTTAGTGTAAAGCCAATTTCCAATTCCTAGCTTTTAAATGAGCAGATTTATTTTCTTTCTGACCAAATCAGTCTCTTTGTCCTTTATTTTTTTTTTAAGTTTATTTATTTTTTTAGTAAACTCTACATCCAATGTGGGGGCTTGAACTTATGACCCCCAAGATCAAAAGTCACAGGCTCTTCCCACCTAGCCAGCCAGGAGCTCCTCTTTGTGCTTTAAATGTTGGTTTTGTTTAAAAATGTCAAACCTAAGCCACCACCTGGTTTCACTTGTATTCTTGCATTAGCTTCTTAACTGCCCTTTTCACAATCTGCTGGGTTCCCACCCAATTTGTTCTCCATAGACTAGAGATCCTGGTAAAACATATATTCGATCATGTCTCTCCTGCCCAAGAATCCCCCAGATGTTTCTCACTGCACTGAGGATTCCGTCCAAAATACCTGGCAGCGCCTATAAGACTGCATAATCTAGTTCCCACCTGTTTCCCCAAACTCATTTCACCCCACACTCACTCCACCTTTTCTCTTTGAACCCTCTTTTCCCTGGCCTTTTGGTTACTCAGAAATGCCAGACTCTTCACTTCAGGGTCTTCCTGCAAACTTTAAAGTTTGTTTGTTTTCTCCCCCACTCATATTCTGGCTAAATTCTCAACTTAGTGCCATTTCCTCTGAAGCCTTCCTTATTTTTAAACTTGTCTGGCCCTGAGGCACCTTAGACTTGGTTCCCAGACACATTCTCCACACTCCCTCCTGGTCACAATGCACTTTAGGTACCTTCCCCTATGGTCCAGTCTGCCTCTCAGCAGAAGCCTCCATAAATAAACCCTTTAACATCCCGGTTCTCCCTCCATCAGTCAGTCCATCCTAATACCAATTACTTACTCATTTACATTTGTTTTCAAGTTTGCTTTTTTCCCCCCTTCCCATTATTGTGCTAATCTCCAATCCTTCCCCTTGGGTTTCTAAATTCTCCTTGGGCATCAACTCTGGGTCTACACAGAAAGTGATAGTTTTTTGAGGGACACCCAACATATATAGACGGTGAAGAGCTTTGCACCCAGAGAGGACCATAAAGGACAGGCCATAAGAACTCAGATGCTTCCAGAAACCTTCAAAGAATTGGCAAAGGAAGTTACTATCAGGTCTGTCATCAAACAGAGAGTCAGAGGAAAAGGGCTCTTGGACTCATGAAATGGTAAACTCCTTTAAGGTACCAGTAAAAGTACCTATGTAACAATCTCCAAGCAGCTCTAATAGAGGAGGAATAAAATTTTGCATGGGGGTTAGGGTCAGGAAAGAAGTTATTTGTAAATTTGGCTCTGGTTGGGGAAGGGGTGCTTAACAGCACCACTGCAGGGGGCATGTAATCCTTGTTTTGGCTACAGCAAAGTGAATGACGGATTGCTGAGATAAAGACAAGCCTTTCATACTCTCCCTCACTCACCATTACTTTAGGGGGTCAGGAAACTTATTTTAAAGTTTAACTAAATTTGACTTTTCTATAGAATGTGCTCAGAAAAGGCTAACCCTTTTAGATAATGAGTACATAAAAAATACTACCCCTATCTAGTAGTTCTGTTCTGTAAGATGCTTGCCATCTCAGCCATACGTATCATTGCTTCTGGATTCCATAGTTCCTCTCTTGGCATCAAGACTGACAATTCCCAGTGACACAGGTCACCTTTGGTCAGAAGGCACCTGATACCCCCTTGAGATACCCAGTTAGGGATGGCTGCTCTAAGCCCTCTACTTCATTCACTAACTCCTACTCTTTCCCACCCTTTAGTGAACTTGTTGGGAAGCCAGTACTGCAGGCAGTGCCCTGTTCTCTATTCATGTTCCAGATGGTCTGGCTGAGCAACCTGTAATAGGGCATAAACTTATTATATATTGTCATCATTTTGAGGGGTGCCTGGGTGGCTGAGTTGGTTGAGGGTCTGACTCTCTCGGTTTCAGCTCAGGTTATGATCTCAGGGTCCTGGGATCAAGCCCTGTGTCCTGCTCCGTGCTGAGTGGGGAGTCTGCTTCTCTCCCTCTGCCCCTCCACATGATCTCTCTCTCTCTTTCAAACAAGTAAATAAATCTTAGGAAAAATAAAAAAGAAAAAAGTCAACGAAAGTGTTGACTAGCGCTAAATAACCAGATATGTTTTTGTTAAGACAATATACAGTCACCTAAAAAGTATGGCCAATTACATATTCTCTCTTACTTGGGAGTGGGTTTACTTAAGCAGGGCACCCACGTTAGATACCAGTCAAGTCAGAGGACTTATGTGTATCATTATCACTTTCATCAACTTATTCACATTATAACTTTTCAGACAAAATGCCAAAACTCTGCTCCAGTCTCTCAATGCCTAACAGCCACCCCTTTCTTCCTCTTTTCTACCAGGGGCTATTTCCGCCCTTTCCTGAGACTTAGAAATGGCAACTTAAAGGGAGCCCAGCACAATCACTGGGAGAAGGAGACGATCAATCAGAAAAGTTTGGGCCCTCCTGAAATAGATATTTAGCTACCTTACATCCTTCTGAAATGACAGCAGTCCCTATCTCATAGGGCTTTTGGGAGAATTACAGGAGAGAATACATGGGAAGTACTTGCTACAATGTCAGGTACACAGTAGGCCTCAAAAAATGTTAGCTTTTATCATTTATCATTGATATAATATGACCAAAGTATCTATTACATTAAATTTAAAAAAATCAAAGGAAGAATTCTTTTAATATATTAATATAATTTAATATTAAAATAATAATAAAGACTACCAATATAAAAATACTTTGAAAATGATACCATGATATATAAACATTACATGTTAGATATTACGCTGGATTACCTATATCAATGTTTTCTCTTCCCAGGGCCACAAGCGAGAGAAATAGTATTTCTCTATACAAACTCCTAGGGGGGGAAAGGAGTGGAGAAGATATTACTATTCATATAATCTCTACATTCTATACAAAAATATTTATGCTAATATAAGCATGAAGTAATCAAACAAATTACTAAGCCAATAATATGAATCTGCTTAGAGGAACAATATATTCATTTAAGACAGACTTACCTCTGTCTTTTAAAATGAGGACATTTATTCAGTGTCTCTAAAATTTGACTCATTGGTCCATAGACATCATTCATTTTAATGCTTTTTACCATATTTTTCAATAGTTCCTGGTTAAATGAATTATCACCTTTTTGCAATAAATGGACCATTGGATACTTTTGGGCTGTAAAAGAACAAAAGAGCAGATGAAGGAAAATGTTCTATGTGTAAAGGACAATATAATTGAGCAGCAACTGATAGTTAATCAAGAAGCTACAAAGCACTAAAAACAAATTAAGGGCAATAGATAAAGAATAGAAATCTAAGGATGAGAAAGAAAAAAAGGAAAAAAAAAAGACACATAATGATGAAAACAGGCTTAAAGCTTTCTGTGGCCTCAGATAGACAAAAACTAAAAATGCAGTTTTCCTTAACACAGCCCCTGGAGGAAATTCTCAATCAGCAGCCTGGCATGGAAACAAATATGTAAAAAGAAGAAAGTGGGACAAGCAATGGGCTAAAAGCAAACTCCACAAAACATAACCCCTCCAGCACATACATAGCACCACTCAAAACAAAACAAAACAAAAGAAAAAAACCCTTGGCCTCCATGGAAGATAGCACTAAAAACATCAAACTTAACACTCACTCTCAAACAAAAGAGTACGATTTTGACCTGTAAGACAAAAAGTAGTAAAGTAAAATAAAAGTTAGTTATACATTAGTTTACTATTGCTATTTAAAGCAAGTACAGATTACTCTTACACAGACGAAGTCAGCATTCTATGATAGCACTTACTGTGGGCATTCCAGAGGATGTACAAGGGCTGTCCCGGATCCTGATGTAATTTCATATTGTCCCATAACATTTGTATTAAAACATATTTACTATCCTCAGACATACAGTGGCGAGGAATCTGTGTTGAAGAACAAATAGATATTCATTAATGATCCTTACCTGATAAGGTTTTGTAAATATAAAGATCCTTATATGTGTGCGAGAGAGAAAAGAGAACAGAAAATGACTGGTTTGTATGCATTTTATCTCGAATGAAGGAAGATGGGCTGAATTGAAAACCTAATGATCTCTGAAGTAGTTTTTTTTAAGATTTTATTTATTTATTTGAGAGAGAGAGAGAGTGCGCGCACAAGCAGGATGAGTGGCAGAGGGAGAGGGAGAAGCAGACTCCCTGCGGAGCAGGGAGCCTTGATGCGGGGCTCGATCCCAGGACCCTGGGATCATGACCCAAGCTGAAGGCAGATGCTTAACTGACTGAGCCACCCAGGTGTCCCTCTGAAGTAGCAAATTTAACCAAATACTTAGATCAGTAAGAAAGGTACCACAAAAGGCTAACCTTAACCAGCTTATGACTGAGGGTCCCCAGAAAAATGAATCCAGGAGCCTCATTCTACATCAGTCCAAGACCCTACCCTAGATAAGTCACTGAGTTGACCTCTTGGTCATTCATTTGTCATGTGCTGAAAATCCAAACCACATGCACAATCATAGACATGAGTACAAGCAGGCAGAAAAAGTTCCTGAGCTTAGAGATGTTGCAATTTAGTGGTGGTGATGAATATGAAGAAATAAAACACTTTTATATAACAATGGATCAAAAATACAAGTAAACATATAGTTGTTTACTAGTTAAGCAAAAACTCAGAGTAAAGGACTGAAGAGAATGGTAGCACATGCCAGAACTAGGAATTACAGACATCCTCCTAAACATGTGCAAGGCTTGTTTTTCAAGGAGGTATGAGATATAAGTGGGGCCAAATCACAAACTCTTCTGATAAGAGTCACTGAAAGTTTCTTCTTGAGGTTATAACAAAAACACAGCCCATTTTGTATCAATTTTACAAGAAGGCTACAAAACACGGTTTTGTCTTACTGCTAGGCTGTAAGAAGAAAAACTATCTGTAAATGCAACAAAAACAATTTTATTGATCTAATGATTTAGATAGTTATTTAAAAAACTTCACATAAAAATTACTTTTTTGTCATTGAGAATATGCAAATATTACAATAGTGACGGTAGCATTGCCTTTTAGTTAATTTTTATTTTCATACCTTTGAATACTTGTTGCAATGCTCAGAAGAAAGAATCAATCCAGGTAAGTTACTGGGTAAGTCAAGACGTCTAAAATACCACACAAGGTTCCAAAACACGATTGGATGATGGTCCACAAAGTCTGCCACTGTTATTGCATGGTCACCTTCATTTTCCAGTAAGCTTTCAAGCTCCTTCCAAACCACTAAAGGACTAAGATATGGAACAGTGATAGGATCTGGACTGGGGAGGTGCCACTCTAATCCTAAAGAATCCTGTTGAATAAATAAAAAAGCATAAATGGAAAATACAAGATTGATGATACTAACAATTTAAAAAATTCCTATCAATGATTTCCATATAGGTAGAAGATACTAGAATTGTATCATGGGACTAGAAACTCTTTTTGATATATTATAAAATTGAAGCTAATAAGGCTATATAGGACAAGGGGAACAAAATCGTATGTAAATCATCAATGTCCAAATTTTAAAAAACACCAAAATACATACGGTAGCTCCTTGTAAAGTAGTTGGCAGACTGCCTGTAGGAATGAGCTTCTGGCCTCCAGTGTCTTCCTTATCCAACGGGCCGTAAGTACTAACACTCCTGGCCATTGGAAATATTGGACATTTTGACACAGCTGTTTTTGATCTATCAGCAGGGATCTGAATACTTCGGGCATATGTATTTTCCAGCAGTTTAGATTTGCTTGGGCATTGAAAAAAAAAAAAGTGTATCATTGTCTAGATTTACTTTATTTCATCTAGAACAACCAGATCTTTAGAATCAGAGCTGGATACACAGCAAAGTAAATCAAATAAAGATGTTAGTCAGAAGTCGGCTGGGGAATAGGATGTATTTCTAAGTAGTCTAATCATGTTAAATTTCCTTTTTATCCAGTGAACTTTAAATATTCAAAAGTCATTAATTTATTAAAACATTTAGTGGACAACTGTTACACATCAGGAACCCCAGTAGGCGCAGAGGATACAAAGCAGAAAAAATAGGCACCTATTCCTTCAGGAGTCACAAGCTAGGGGGACCCAGTCAGAGAAAGGGCTCCACTAATCCTACGATCACACAGATTTGCGGCTGTGCTGCCTAGGCACTCAGGACCAAACGGGTCATGCCAGCTGACCAGTACCCCACAGGCATGTTTTTCCTGCACATGCAGTTGACAATATGACTTCACCTGCCCCGTTATGTGTATGATGTATCTGGCACTTCTCCAAAATGGAGTCAATTTCTGCATTTGTTTTAAGTGTAAATTCACTTATATTAGGCTTACTGTAAAGTCTTACTTTGATTTTACAGTTCCTCTATCAGTTCTAAATGTTTTCTCAGGTTATTAAATATCCTAAAGTAGAAGTAAGTTAGGACTGATTTAATTCCTAAAGAGACAGGGATAAGAGAAAGATGTTCACTGTAAACAGGTGTTCTACAGAATTTTTACTTTTTTTTTTTTTTTAGGTAGGCTCCATGTTCAACATGGGGCTTGAACTCATGACCCTGAGATCAAGAGTCGCATGCTCTACCCACTGAGCCAGTCCGGGTGTTCCAGGTGTTAAGTTTTACTTTGAAAACACTAGTAAACATTATCATATAAGAATTCTACAGCTTAAACTCTGGGGATTCATAAAGCATAAACTATAACTGTTTAAACATTTAGGTTATTAGAGAATTTTAAAACTTTTAATTAGGGGAAAGAACTTAAGATTATGAATCTATTATACATGGAAATTTGAGAGAGAGAGCGCGCACACGTGTGAGCAAGGCAGAGGGAAAAGGAGAAAGAGAATTTCAAGGAGACTCCATGGCCCAGCGCAGAGCCCGATGTGGGGCTCGACCCCATGATCCTGAGATCATGACTTCAGTCGAAATCAAGAATCGGATGCTTAACTGACTGAGCCACCCAGGCGCCCCTAGAAATTTTAAATGGTCGGCTGATTTTTCTGTCATTTTCAGAAACATGTGTAATACATGTTAAAATATAGTTCCACATAATTATAATTACCTATTGAGATCAAAATTCCCTTGAACAGAGATAACAGATGTGTCAAGACCAGAGGCTGATGTTGAGATACAAGACTGCCTTGTCTGAGTTGAAAACGAGGATGGAAAGTGCATATTTTCCGTAGATGGGCTTGACTTCAGAAAGTATCTGCAATGTGAATTAAAGGAACTTTTTGAGAAAAGAGGTATTCTAGGAAATATGATCCTTAAACATGAAGGAAAAAGAAAGCACAAATCATTACCTTCCAGGCCGTCTTAAATCTCTTATTTCAATATTCAGAAAGGGCAAGAAAAGATTGCCACAAAATGGGCATGTAGTATTGAGATTTGAATCATCTGCTGTCCAGCCAGCCATGATTTCCTCATCATGGACGAGACAATCACATGTTCTACACCGAGAACAACTTGAGATAAGAACCTATGGGAGAAAACAGCACTTTATAAAGCGAGCCTGTTGGAGATATTATGAATTAAAAACCACTTCAATCCATAAATCTATTAGAAAACTAAAAGTCAGAAGGATTCAGAAGTTACAAACAAACAAAAAATAGATTACATTCAGCTAAATCGATTTCAGAATTTCTCCCTGAAAGGGAACCTTGCATTTAAGAAAGGAAACCTTACCATTAAATTACTACAGAACCTGCCATGGTTTGATTAGTGAAAAAGTAAACCCAAGCATTAATTTGCTAATACCCAAAATAGGTATTCATAATTACATATTATGGGTCTGTGTGCTACTCATACATAGTGTGGTCACCAGACAAGTGTGGGTCCACAAACTCTTCGATTTGTGGTAAGTAAAGAAATTGAGAAGAGGACTTAGAAACCTTTAAAGCAATTGGTCATTGCTGCAATATCTAACTTTGTAATCAATACACATTTTCACAAGAGTATCAGCCAGGACAGACTGGAAATTAAAAACCCCAACAAAACCCTGGTCTGTCACTAACGACAGTTTAAGAAGTATTGCTATAGATGAGTGTAAATGCTGTCACTACATGAATAAAATATAGAAATTCCTGAAGCCACGAGAAACTTCATCAATTGTAATATCCGTGCTCATCATTTATTTTCCAGCCACATGCAAATCTATTTTCCAAGTTTACACAAACTGGCCTGAAAAAGCAACACTCACAGATGTAATTTGGAAGCCATTTTTATACAAAAGTTTGGGAAAACTTTTAAAGTGTAAAAGCATAACTCTTTTATTGTGAAAAAAAGAGACACACAGCAACATCTCCAGCAGATACCCACATCAAACTGATACAAAAAATGAAAAACATGATGGGCAAAGGGGACACAAATGCCAAAACAGCTCCATGTCCCCTCATCATAAAAGTGTGCTTGCATAGCAGAATTGGTTTTTAAGAGGTTCAAATGTGAAATAAAAGTTCAAAAAGAACATAGAGATAATCAGGGAAATTAGAAATACTGAAAATGGAAATGCTTTTGTACACTGATAAATCCCAAAGGAGGCGTGGGACTTTCCTAAACAGAAGTGAAGCAGTATGACCTCGGTATTCTGAAATACTGGCTATTTTACGTTTATTCAGCTGCAATATACACTCTGAAATTTTCAGAAGCTACATATTTAACTATTTATTACTCTACCCCTGACCATGAGTACGTAAGGAACATAAGTTCTAGAAGTAGTATAAGTAGTACAGGAAGACGCTCTTCGGATTAAAACTGTACCTCCATTGCATAGTTCTGGAAGATATTTGTATTACTTGTGTTGCAGGAAGATGCCACTTCTGATTTCCCAGGTAAGGCAAACTTTGACAGGGATCCTGTTCATTATTAAAAAACAGAGCAAAACCATTACAATTAATGAGAAAGGATATGAAAATCTTTTACCTCCATAAATTCTGATAAAATGTCCAACTGTTTTATTCAAAATAGCAAAGGTAATTTAAGAAAAAAAACAAAAAAGGCATGCATTTTTGTTTTGAGTACAAACTTAAGGAAATGTGCTCTGATTCTACAGCTTCCCACAGGCTGGGGGTGGGAAGCCCTAGCTTCATTACTCACTTACGAAGTACTTTGTGGATACAGGCTACCCACTTATGAAGTTACTTTGTAGGTACAGGCTCATCACTCACTTATGACGTACTTTGTGGGTACAGGCTACAAGGCATTCCAGTTATTTTAATTACTAATTTGCTGTTCTCTTTTTCCATTTTTAAAATACAAGAATGTGTTTAGTTCTAAGGTCTAAAACATATAAAATAGCTAATTTTATTTCCAATCATAAAAAGATTTACTGGCAGTTCTGTCTTCTCAGGATCTTTTAAGATCTGGTACAGTAATCTTGTTCTTAAACATGAGGAAAGAATTTCCCAATATATTCTTAAGAGTAATGAATATTAGTAGGTATTAAAACAACAACAAAAACAACAAAAAGTAAGGGGCGTTCTGTGGTCAGATCAATTGTTGACAATGGCTATATCTTGTTAATAAAACTAGAGGTAATCTACTTTTTTCTCAGTAGTTACTAAATGTTACGAATGAACACTTATATTTTTATAAAGTAAGGGTAAAAAAAATAAGTAATGGGATAAACTACCAGTTCACAAGAAAGAGAGAAGACAGGAAAAAACATGTTAAACACCAAAAGGCAGAAGAAAAATTATTAAATTTCCTTACTACTTACAGCCCACTGACAAGTCCTTGAGGTGGGCAGAGTGACTTTCCTTTAGGGACTCAACTGCCTGGGTGGTGACACTTTGCTAAGGGCAAAAGGTAATCCTAACCCGCCCCCCGCCCCCCACACCCCACCATTCCTGTAAGTCTACTTTAACATATAAAAATTCCTTTGGAAACTTCCTTTATCTCTACCTGCCCCCCTCCCCCGCCCCCATACACGTTGGCAATTATCCCCCAAGTATACATCTGAAGGGTCTCACTGAGTAAGGGACAGGCGGGGCAAGGTAGGGAGAGATAGGTAGGGGGCTCACAGAAAACCCAAAATGCTGAGGCATAACAAAACCAGAGATAAGGGAACAAACCAGACCACCCTGCCCTGGGCGTCAGAGGTGGGGTCTAATTTAATGGCAGTCACATTGTGACCAACAAAGAATAATGAGACCCTAAAGAAGAAGTAAGCCATTAAAGATGTCATCACCAGCCCTTACTCAAACCAAGACGTCACAAGAATGTTAAGGCCAGGGCGCCTGGGTGGCTCAGTTGGTTAAGCGACTGCCTTCAGCTCAGGTCATGATCCCAGAGTCCTGGGATCGAGTCCTGCATCAGGCTCCCTGCTCGGCAGGGAGTCTGCTTCTCCCTCTCACCCTACCCCCTCTTGTGCGCGCGCGCTCTCTCTCTCTTTCAAATAAATAAAATAAAATCTTAAAAAAAAAAAAAAGAATGTTAAGGCCACAAGCTCCCTGGTCAGTTCTAAATAAAAGACTGTCAGTGGAGGCCCATGTTGGCAACCCTGGTGGGACCCCTGTCACTTCTAAGAGCTTTTTTTGTATTCTTGCTTAATAAAACTTTTTATCACTTTACTCACTCTCCTTTGTCCACAAGATTCATTCTTCAACTCCGTGAGAAAAGAACCTCTCTCTCCCTCTTCACAATCATAGGGATGCAATCAGCATAATCCAGACTAATGGCCTGATTGCTTCAGTAAATAAATGAAAATGGTAAGAAAAAGCTAGCTCTAGAACTACCACCACTGGTCCTAGGCCCGTTTCACAGATGGGTTGAGAGGGACAGTGAGGGCTGAAGCCTCCATCAACCTGTAAGCTGCTTACAGCTGGTGGTAATTGCAGTACTTTCCCTGGACGGTTCCCCACAACCCTCTGTAATCCATGTCTGCTAAAGCTAGTTCAGAACTCCTTTCTTGTACCTTCTATCAGGCTTGACTAATGAAATCATTTATGTGGGCAGCCTCCCTTTCACATCTAATTAATCTAGAGCACAGAAGATTCACTTTAATAAATATGAATCAGGTTGTGGGGTTTATTTCTTAGCACAACAAATTGCTCTTGTATGTTAAAAAAAGGGGGGGCGAGCTAATCACTCGATTTCTTCATGAATGGATGACAAGGGGGAAAAAAAGAGGGAACAAAGAGGAAGTTAACAGACAATATTAGCCAAATGCAACAAGGGGACCTTATCTGGATCCAACTTGAACAAACCACCTATAAAAGGAGCTTTATGAGATAACTGTGAAAATTTAAACTAAATAAATATTTGATATAATCAAAGTATTATATCGATCAAAACATTCAAAAATGTAATAGCAATACAATTATGTTTTCAAAAAATGAATGCTTCACAAAAGATACATAGCGTACCTGTTCCAAACAGACCATGCTAACACAGTGTTAGAAGAGAATGTTTATCTATGAAGGGGGCAGTGACCACATGTGTGCATGAGAGGAGCTTCTGGATATTGTTAACGTTCTGTGTTTTGATCTAAGTGCTGGTTACTCATGTGTCCTCAATTTCTGAAATGTATTTACATACATAAAAGTGTACACATTACATGCATAACATTAATAAATTTAAAAATGTTTATCAAATACATAATTTAAAAAATGTTTTAAAAAATTTTTTTGAAAAGAGAAACCACTGGCGCAAAATGGCATCACTTAGGCTGAGTTCCCAGTAGGGGCTTAACATCTAATCTAATTGTAGTTTCAACTTCCTCAGAGTGTGGTCTTAAACAGTCAGTCAGGAATTTTCTGACCAATGCCTGGGAGTTTGCAACATGGGCCCTCTCCATCTCCCAAAGGAAGATGAAATAATCTGCATGATAGACCCCCTGCACTTCCCCCTAAGGGAAAGTGACTTTGCCTGGAATATCTTCTCTTTTGCTAATAACTTTCTTGCCTCACCCTTCTACAAAAACCTTCCATTTTGTACAGTTCTTGGAGCTCCCCTCTACTTGCTAGATGGGATGCTGCCTGATTCATGAATTGTTTAGTAAAGCCAGTTAGATCTTCAAATTTACTTGGTTGAATTCCATTTTTTAACAATATAAAACATTAAAGTCCTTATATTTTAGAGCTACATATGGAAGTACTGATGAATAAAATTATATGCTGTCTAGTATTTACTTTAAAATAATTCAGTGGGTAAGGAAAAAATAGTGGGACTACAGGAGGGGGAAAGATAAAACAAGATTGGCCATTTTTTGATAACTATTGCAATTGGGTAAAGGGTAAATGGGTGTCCATTGGGCTATTCTTTCTACTTCTGCGTACATTTTAAAGTCCCTACAATAAAGGCTTTTTAAAAGACCAAAGGTGCACATCAAAAAGTATTATAATGCCCTTGCTTCCCTTGCCTTAGTTATCAAACTCAACACCCAAAGAACAAATAATCCAATCAAGAAATGGGCAGAAGACATGAACAGACATTTTTCCAAAGAAGACATCCAAATGGCCAACAGACACATGACAAAGTGCTCAAAATCGCTCGGCATCAGGGAAATCCAAATCAAAACCTCCATGAGATAACCACCTCACACCAGTCAGAATGGCTAAAATTAACAAGTCAGGAAACGACAGATGTTGGCGAGGATGCGGAGAAAGGGGAACCCTCCTACACTGTTCGTGGGAATGCAAGCTGGTGCAGCCACTCTGGAAAACAGTATGGAGGTTCCTCAAAAAGTTGAAAATAGAGCTACCCTATGACCCAGCAATTGCACTACTGGGTATTTACCCCAAAGATACAAATGTAGGGATCTGAAGGGGCACATGCACCCCAATGTTTATAGCAGCAATGTCCACAAGAGCCGAACTATGGAAAGAGCGTAGATGTCCATCAAGAGATGAATGGATAAACACACATATACACAATGGAATATTATGCAGCCATCAAAAAATGAAATCTTGCCATTTGCAATGATGTGGATGGAACTGGAGGGTATTATGCTAAGCGAAAGAAGTCAATCAGAGAAGGACATGTATCATATGATCTCATTGATATGAGGAATTCTTAATCTCAGGAAACAAACTGAGGGTTGCTGGAGTAGTGGGGGGTGAGGGATCGGGTGGCTGGGTGATGTGTATTGGGGAGGGTATGTGCTAAGGTGAGTGCTGTGAATTGTGTAAGACTGCTGAATCACAGACCTGTACCTCTGAAACAAATAATACATTATGTGTTAAAAAAAAAAAAAGAAGGTAGTAGGAAGGGAAAAATGAAGGGGGGGACATTGGAGGGGGAGACGAACCATGAAAGACTATGGACTCTGAGAAACAAACTGAGGGTTCTAGAGGGGAGGTGGCTGGGGGAGGGGTTAACCTGGTGCTGGGTATTAAAGAGGGCATGAATTGAATGGAGTACTGGGTGTTATATGCAAACAATGAATCATGGAACACTACATCAAAAACTAAGATGTAATGTATGGTGACTGACGTAACATAATAAAATAAAATTTAAAAAAAGTATTATAATCCATTCCTCACACCATATCCTAGGATAAATTTCAAATGGATTAAATCTCTAAATCAGGGGTCAAATCCACTTGTGTATGGCCACAAGCTAAGAATGGTTTTTACATTTTAAAGTGTTAGAAAAAGAAAACAATAAAAAAGAATATGTGACAGAGAGGTGTGGCCCACAAAACCTAAAATATTTAAGATATGGTCCTTTACAGAGAATTTTACAGAAAATGTTAAAAAGAAAACCAAAGAAGTGTCAGAAGAAAACACTGGTGAACCTAGGGAAGGGGACATCTTTCCTAATACCTCCAAATCCAGAAACAGTAGGGATGCACTGATAAATGTGATGACATAAAATTAAAAACTTCTGTGTGGGGGGAAAAAAACTATGCACAAAAACTTGACAAAATTGGAGAAAGTATCTGGCAATTACATAAGAAACAATGTGTGTGTGGGCACCTGGGTGGCTCAGTTGGTTAAGCGACTGCCTTTGGCTCAGGTCATGATCCTGGAGTCCTGGGATCGAGTCCCGCATCGGGCTCCCTGCTCAGCGGGGAGTCTGCTTCTCCCTCTGACCCTCCCCCCCTCGTGCTCTATCTCATTCTCTTTCTCAAATAAATAAAATCTTTAAAAAAAAAAAAGAAAAAAAGAAACAATGTGTGTGTATATATATATTTGTATATATTTATATATAAAAAGAGCTAATAAGCCTTAAAAAAAAAAAAGGACCAACAAGTAAAATGTAGGCAAAGGACAGTCCATAGAAAAAGAAATACAAATAGTCCTTAAACATATAAACAGTTACTCAATTTACAAGAGGAATATAAATAAAACCTAAACTGAAATACAGTCCTCATTGATCAGGTGGCAAAAATCTTAAAGTCTGCAGAAATATTTTGTTGACAAGGCTGTGGGGAAATAGGTATTCTTATATACTGTCAGTGGTAATTCTAACTAGTACAGCCCCGAGGAAGGCAACTTGGCAGTATCACTTCAAGGAAGAATTTGTATCTTCCAAAGAGACCCTGGCAAAAATATAATGACATATATGCATCATAACATTATTTGTAATAGTCAAAGACTAGACACTTAATGCCCATCAGTAGGGAAGTGATTAAAATAAACTCTGATACATCCACAGATGATTAACTATGCAACCGTAAAAATGAGTAAGGGACAATGCAATGTGATGATATGGAATGATCTTTAGGATATATTGTTAAGTGAAAAACACAAGGATTGGGCAAGTACGTTACTTTCTGAGTTAGAAGACAAGGAGGTAGTAAGAACACTCACTCACATATCCCTATATTTTTAAAGAAATAACAATGTTAGGATAAACCAAAATAAATAAAAATGATTACCTCTAGGCACAGGGAGAAAACAAGATGAAGGGGTGGGGAGGGAAGGTAGACCTCTCTAAAAGTGCCTTGGTTCTTACTCTTTTGACTTTGGAGCCATGAGAATCTTTTACAAAATTAAAGCAAAGGAAAAAAAGTAAAGGTACCACATATAACTGCAGTATCACCAAACTGGACAAACCTTCTAAGGAGGCAGAACTTTCCAGGCTTGTTCTGCTGAAATCAATTCCCTTAGTCCCTGAAGTGGCACTGCTCTCTTGGGAGGAAGTGGCTCCTTCCAACTCATGGCAAACATCTTCATCTGTTAAAGAGGTAGATTCAGAATCCTGGGCTCCCACTGAAGAAAGACTGGTACGATCAGAACTTTGATCCTAAGGACATAATTATAAGCTTAATTTCCTTCATATTTAAATTTAATTATTTAAAATGTCACTCCTAAAGCAGAGGAAATGCTTAATCACCCAGATGATCAGTTAATCAACATTATAACATCTATAGAAAAAAACAACCAATTTTACATGGGCTACTAATTTGGACAAACATGGGTGGGAAATCATTTAGACAGCATTTTTAGTTAGAGCCAAGTGGAGATACCTGTTGGTAAGATACCCTTGCTGACTTTGAAGCTTCGTTTACTGTTCGTTTTCCTCCCTGTGAATACCAGCCCAGGATGATACCATTAGAACTGCATTTTATTCTTTTAAAATTTCATGTATGTTTACATTTTATTATTTTCCATAATAATCTAGGTTTCAAAGACATGTATTTCCAGTTTTCATTTTTGAGAACACCAAAGTGTAAGTTCAATGTTTTTCTGGTTATACCAACAATACATTAAGAAAATCTGGTCAATATGAATTTTTGTATAAAGGAAAAAAATTTAAATATCTATAATTCTCCAGCCCAGATAATACAACTTATTTTTTTCTAGTCATCTTGTGTATGTGTGTTATTTTTAGGATTATTTGGATATTTGTACTGGCTTTTCTACTATATCTCATTGTATTTTTAAAAGTGGGTGCTCTAGGAATCATATACACCCAGGCATTTATAGTCTACTTAAAGTTAGTATTGTACCTCTTGGTATATAATAACATAACTATAATGAATATTGGCAGAGTGAATCTCTTTATCACTGTAAAACATGTACATATATTGAATGTTCCATAAGATAATGTCATAATTTTTGTTGTGGGCAATTATTTAAGAGATAAGAAAGTAGTTTTTTATATTAACTATTTATCATGTTTTCTGTTCTTCCTTCATTCCTGTAGGTCCAGTTTTCTTTGTGGTATTATTTTTCTTCAGCCTGAAGAACTTCCTTTAGCATATCTCATGTAACAGGCCTGCGGGTCAGGATTCTCTTCTTTTATCTGAAAATATTTTTATTGCACCTTTCCCCCAGAAGAATATTTTCATTGGGTATCGAATTCTGGGTTGACAGATCTTTTAACAATTGCAAGGTGTTGTTCCAGTGTATTCTTTCCTCCATGGATTGTGGAAAAAATATATGGTTATTCAAATCCTTATTCCTCTGTAGGTAATGTGTCATTTTTCTTTAACAGTTTTCAAGTTTTTTTTATTATTTCCTCCCAGCAGCTATTTTATTAGCAGATGGATATCTTTGCTTTTTAGCAGTTTGCTTATGTGTGTGTAGATGCAGTTTTCTGTGAGTTTATCCTGTCTATAGTTTACTGAGCCTCTTGTATCTGTAAATCTATATCCTTCACCAAATTTGGGAAGTTATTTCTTATTTATTTCTCCATTTTTTATTTCTTCAGGTATCTTTTCTACCACAATTTTTTTTTCTCTAATACTTCTGGAATTCTAATTATATGTTATTCCTTTTGATACTGTCCCACAAGTCTCTGAGGCTTTGTTCATTTTTGTAAAAAGTCTTTTCTCTCTCTGTTCTTCTAATTGGATAATTTCTGTTACTCAAGTCTTCAAGTTCATGGATTCTTCCCTCTATCTTCTCCATTCTGCTACTGAACCCATCCAATGACTTTATTTCAGAGGGTATTTTTTAGTTATAAAATGTGTTTTTTAAAATAGTTTCTATTTCTTGCTGATAATTCCTTCATTTATTTCAAATGTGTTTTTCTTTAACTTCAGGGAATCTAGTTATAATAGTGGCTTCGTGTTTCTGTCAGGATAATTCCAACATCTGGGTCATCTCAGGGTTGTCTTTCCCTTGAGAACAGGGTCACATTTTCCTGGTTCTTTATCAAGTCATTCTGGATTTTATTTTGGCACTCTGAATGTTATGTTGTGTGGTCTGGGTCCTGTTATAATCTCTTGGAGAACACTGATGCTTTTGTTATAGCAGGCTTTGTTACTGACCAAGTTATGTTTGGGCTGTAATTTGTGTTTCAATTTTTGTAGGCAGTGACTTAGTTCTTAGTTTAGTTCTGTAAGACTCATCTTTGCCGGGTCACCTTTATCCCATGTTATGTGTAGTTCAAGACTAGGCTGACACTCGTGTGGGCCATTCACAGAATCTGGAAATCCCCTTCTCTCAGATTCCCCTCAAACTCTCCAGCCCACAGATGCCCCCTTCTCTGGCTCCTCTGTCCCGAACTAGAGTTTCTCTTGAAGTTTCAGCTGCCAGGGCTGCCACACCACACTGTGATGGGGACCTGCTCTTGGGGCAAAGATGCATGAGACAAGAAAATGGGGAATTCACCTCTGTCTGGGTCCCTCCCCACAATCTGCCTGCTTCTTCAGAATCCTTAGATAGTTGTTTTTTTGCATTTTGTCTGGGGTTTTTAGTTATAATCAGCAGGAGGGATGTGTTTTAGCGGCTTTATGTTCCCACAGTGGAGCTAGGACTCTCACCCTCATTTATTTTTTTTAAAGATTTATTTATTTATTTGAGAGAGAGAGCAAGCACACACACAACACACACACACACACACACACACACACACACACACACACACACGTGCGAGGGGCAGACAGAGAGAATCTTAAAGCAGACTCCCCGCTGAGCTCGGAGCCTGACCCCACAACCCTGAGATCATGACCTGAGCTGAAACCAAGAGTCCAACAATGCTCAACCGACTAAACCACCCAGGTGCCCCCCCACCCTCATTTTTAAAGATGGTATTTGCTGGGTGTAGGAAAATAGGGTGGCAGTTATTGTCCTTCAGTGCTCTAAAGGTATCTTTCCAGGGTCTCCTGACATCAAAGTTTCTGTTCAGAAGACAAGTGGCAGTTTCTTACTGTTGTTCCATTCGAAGGTAAGATAAACTCTTTTCTCTGGCTCCTCTTAAGATTTCCTCTTTGTATTCCATTTCCATCTATTTTAAAATTAGATGCATAATAAGTATGGTTTTCTTTGCATTTATTCTGCTTGACATTTGTAGATCTTCTAAATATGTAAGTTGCCATCTTTCATCACTTTGGGAAAATTTTTGGCAATTCACTTTTTAAATGTTCTTTCTATCTCATTCTGTCTTCTGGAACTCAGTTACATCAGTGTTAGACATTTTCACTAATTCCCACATTCGTTTTTTTATTTTCCATTTGATTTCCAATCTGCTTCAAAGTGGATATTTTTTACTGAGTTTCCATCTAGTTTACAAATGTTCTTTTTCTGTGTTTTGTCTGCTGTTAAATCCAACTACTACATTCTTAATTTCACATCTTTTTAGGTTCTAGAATTTATACTTGATTCTTTTTAATAGATAATTATCTGGTGAAATTTTCTACCTTTGCAGCTTTTTTTCTTCAGCTTTCCCTTGATTTTCTTGAACATATTAAAATTATTTCAAAGTCTCTCGCTAATTTAAATACTTGGATCAGCTGAATTTTTCTTCTGTTTTTTAGTTATGGTTCTGTCTCTTGGTATAGCTATTTTTAACTAAATAAAAGATTATATATAAAAAATTATAAGGACTCCAGATGATATTCTGTTCCTCCGCAAAGGACACAGTCTTTCATGTGTTAGATAAAGGCTGATTATCTTCATCTAATCACAGGCTGAGCTGAGTCAAGCCTAGGTTGCTATTTTGGTCAGGTGCAGTCCAACTCTGGTTTGCCAACGCTCCTAAGGCATGGCTCTGCGGGACTTCCAACAAAGGGCTTGGTGTGTTTACCAAAGCTCCCCTGGCTTCTACCCCCCATCCCCCACCCTGGAATTTATGAACTCTTTGTGACTCTATTCCCAGCACCATGGAACTGCTGAAAACTCTAATTTGTCAGAGACTTTCTGCTTACCTTTTTAGCCTCCTGTCTCATGCAGTACCAGTATTGGGAAAGTGTCCTGAAGGAAAAAAACTGGTGTATCTGAGGACCCTCAAGAGTCTCTGATTTTTGTCTCTCCAGCTCCACCAGATCCTAAAACTCTGTGTCCCCCTTACCTCTCCTCAGTCCTCTAAGGCAAAACCTGAATTTGCAACCCTTTGCTCTGTGCTCAGAATCAACAGATGCCCTCAGGGGAAAGCAGCTGTAGCACTTCCGGGCTCCTCTCTGCGAGTCACTGCTAGAATCTTGCACCTCTGCTTTCTACTTGCTTTAGCAATTCTCTGATTACTTTAAACAGATACTTTATATTTCATTTAGTTTTTTTGCTCTTGGGAGATAGGTACATAGGTCTATCACAAGCTACTCCATCCTAACTAGAAGGAAAAGTCCTATGTCAGCAGTAATTTTTGAAGGCATGCTGGACACTACCTGAAAAAAAGAATCTGCATTTTGAAGGAAATAATAAAGCTCAGTAAGCATTTTCATATAACACTGATTTTTACTCCAGCTACAAATCATTTTCTTTCAAAACTGTACTATAATCATAACCTTAGTGAATTTTCATTCCTTATTATTCAAGTTCAAATTCTGATATTTACAAACCTTATGCATCCAAAGAGTCCTTTTTGGTAAAGCTGTGTTTAAGGAGCAAGGTAAAAACAGACATTTTTGCAAGGAAGGGACTTTTGGTGGTGGAGGATGGTAAAAGGGAAAGTAGAAAATGCAAAGAGAACTTACTTTAGATGATGTGGTATACATGGTGAATCTTGAATACCATTTGCTGGCTTTCTCTGCAACTCCTTTCCCAGCAGTGAACATACTGTTCCTTAGAACATCTAGTTTAGGTACCAGCAGTGTATCTAAATTAAATGAAGGTGATGAATGGGTTAATGCAGCTTGAGATTCTTCCCTGAATGGGCAAGAAGGTGAGAAGGCTGGAGAAGACCAGAGTCTCTCCCGTGGTCTCTCCGCGGTTTTTGTATAACTTTTAGATTTGGTAAGTCTCATTGGCCTCGGAGAGTGGGGAGGCAGGCTAGATCTCCTGCACGCCTTGACCAACGTTGGACTTCTCTTACTGGCTGATTTGTCATCACATGCCCGTTGTAAATCGATGCTTGGCGTGCGGCTCGTCAAAGGACTGCTCATGTTATTCATATACATCACAATCTCCTCGGCTAAGTCACGCCTGGCGGACGGTGTTGGAACGATTTTGCTGTCTTCGTCATCTTCTTCCTCCTCCTCTTTATGCTGCTGCTCGGTCTCAGCAACCAAAAGAGAGAGGGGATCAAATCCTGTGGCAACGTCCGTTTTCGCAGAAGGTTTTACTGAAAAGCTGCTGCTCATACGCTGAATCCTCTTGGGGTTCTGTGAAGCAGTGTATCCCACTTTTGATCCATCTGTCTCACTGTCTAAGTCTTCTAAATCAAAAATAACGGGAGAATCCACTTTATCTGCCAAACAGTTAGAACCATCGAAAGGTGTATCCTCATCACTAGATTCCTTTTCTAGACTGTCTCTTTTTGATCTTAAAGGTGGCTTTCCGATATCAAGACTGGTTGGTCTTGTGCTTTTTGAGATAACGTTTGAAAGAATTTTTGCATCAGCTCCTAGTTTTTCAACCATATCTCCAGGGCTTGCTTCCTGGTTGATTCTATTGAGCATAAGTCCCATCAGTACTCCGCCACTAAGATTGCGGTTTCTGCTTCCCCAGGAGAGTCGCTGCTGCAAATTAGGTTCGTTTTCACTTTTATGTCTTTTCCTGAAGCACCTACTTTGACTGTTTCCTGTTTCATTTGTACCTTCAAAAGATGATAGTAAGAGCAGCTCAGAGGTGCTTTCTGAAAAACGAGAGAAGTGTTTTTAGCCATGAAAAATGTAATGTGCGGATATAAGATGTCTTAAATATTTAAAATACTAGTAATGAAAATGGTAATAGCAAGTACTCGCTGAGTGCCTGCTATTTGACAGACACTATAACTCTGCATTTCACTCACATTATCTACTGTAATCATGCCAACATCCTTACGGGTTGAGAAGAAACTGACGCTCAGGGGGATGAATTAACTAGCCCAAAGTTACCCACCCAGTCCTTAAGTGACGGAAGTGGGATTCAAAAACAGACATGACTAACTATAAAGGGTCTGCTCTGAGGCAGAAGCATGTACTGCTTTTTAAAACTTATAAATTAAGATTAGTATTTACCTTTCTTGGAGTGGGAGATACAGGCTTTCAGCCAGAGAACAAATAAGTCACGGGAAAAAAGGCATAGCATCGGGAATATGGTCAGTGATACTGTAATAGCGTTGTATGGGGACAGGTGGTAGCCGCACCTGTGGCAAGCACAGCATACGTACAGAAGCCGAATCACTATGCTGTACGCTGAAATGAATGTAACACTGTGTGTACTCAAAATTTTTTTAAAAAATGTACCTTTCTTATATTTAATAATAAACTGTATTATTTACCCTAAATTGATTAGACAATGGTTATATAATTGTGGTTGAACTAGATGACCTTGTGATTATGAGTCTTCTACCTATAAAAATGAAAAATAAAACCAAAAACCTAAACCAAGCCAAATAAAAGGCAGCTATGTTAGCTTTATCCATATATAAAAATTATTTTAAAAAACTCCAGGGCGCCTGGGTGGCTCAGTTGGTTGAGCGACTGCCTTTGGCTCAGGTCATGATCCTGGAGACCCTGAGTCGGGTCCCGCATCGGGCTCCCTGCTTGGCCGGGAGTCTGCTTCTCCCTCTGACCCTCCCCCCCATGTGCTTTCTCTCTCTCTCATTCTCTCTCTCTCAAATAAATAAATAAAATCTTAAAAATAAAATAAAATAAAATTAAATTAAATTAAATTAAAAAAAAACCCAAACTCCAAATCCTATGACTATAGATGTGGCTAAATGATCTTACCCTTATTTTACATATGGTTTGCAAGTTTATACCAGTTAAATGTGAATGGCTATTTTCTACTCAGAAACATTTCACTGCTTTTTGCCAAATTACTAAGGTACCAATGCTGAAAGCAGAAAGCTAGATTCCTGATCACTTTAATTGTCATTATGTGGGAGTCTTCTAAAGCATTAGTCTAGGTACGGTATTGTCAATTTCTTTTTATATGTTTATATATGTCATTTCTTTTTATATGCTTATCCAATAGAACTAGTGTGCTATAACAAGGCAATTCCTAAAAATGTGCCTTTTTCCTGCCATGTGATGCATTTAGGGACAGGATAGGACATAAAAGGGAATACTGGAGACCATAAAAGCCTACAAACTAATAACGTAATAAAGCATTAACAAGGAAAATAGCATAGCAGAAAGGTAAAGTCTATTCTTTGTTTCTTCATCACCTTATGACTAAGGGCATAAAAAGCCAAAAGTGTACTTTCTTCTAACATTCTGGGAAACCTTCTGCTTGACAGATGAAATATCATCAAAGACTTGGAGGAATCTTATAATCCTAAAACAGTACTCTAGGATTGAGTTTAAATAGCTGTGGAGGGGGGTCCCCTTGCAAAATCAAAACCATGTTACAGCCTGAAGACAAATAAAGCTGGTTATCAAACCATACCAGGGGTTGGCAAACTATGCTTCTGAGCCAAATCTGGCCTGTGGACTGTTTTTGTACAGACTCAAATGGTTTTGACGTTTACAATCACATACTCACAAAGAAGAACAGGTGACAGAATGGTATGTGGTCTGCAAGGCCTAAAATACTACCTGGCCATTTACAGTGAAGTTAGTCCAACCCTAGGTTCATATGCATGTTAATTCCAACAGACTATGCTGGGTGCTGCATGCCTCTAACACAGAGCCACAAGCTATTTAAATTCCTTGAGTAAGGCGGCTCTATGACATAATTCTGGCCAGTAGTGGTAAAGTGGTAGTTTTTGAAGGTTTCTAGAAAAATTTTCCTTTCCTGATAAAAGGGGATGTGGCTGGTGGTCCCCTTCCCATCTTTTCTGCCTCGCACAGACAGGTGATGCATCAAGTTGCCAGTGGTCCTATTATAAATATGGTTAGGTCCAGAGAACTGATGGCAAAACCCTTGAGTTAACATCTTGAGCAGTTGTTTACCTTTGCATTTCTTATTTGAGGAAAAAACTCTTGACGTGTGTAAGTGACTGCTAATCATATTTTCTGAGTCTTACAGCTGAAAGAATTCCTAGCTGAAATACTAGCCCCTTTTCAGATTTGGAACATTCTATAATCCCTTCCTACCACACATAGCCTTTCAGAGATTGCCTCCCTTTTCCTGGAATGCTCTCTCTCAATTCCTCCTTTGCAATCCCTGTTCTTATTTGTTTTTGACGCAGACTTTAGATCTAAGCTCAAGAACCATATTTACCAAGGAAGTCTTCCTGGACCAACATGCCCCAAACCCAGGACACATCTATTTATTATATGCTCTTGTAGAAACTTATAGCCCTTCTTCACAGTATTTAATCTCAGAGCATTTTTACATTTACTTGATTATTTGATTAATGTTTTCCCATCTCTCCCTCCTGCTTTCTCTATGAAGGTAGGGACCGGATCGTGTTTTTGTTTTTTTGTTTTGTTGTTCCTTAGCATATCCCCAGAAACACCTGACATCTGGTTACATATAGCAGGAGCTCAAGAAATAATTACTGAGTGAACGCTGTCTGCTGGGAAACAACTGCTACCAATAGACCAACCCAGAATATGACACAGGAGAGTGTATTATAATATGATATATCATAGCTAAATATGGCAGCTAAAGATAAAAAGTTCAACAGAAACCAGAATTTGGCTTAGAAAAACATCTCCGAGTAGGTTTTATTTCAGAGTAAATTTTCTTGTGGTTCAACTCTCAGTGATTCAATATACATTTATCAAAATATCAAATTCTCAACATAATCATGAAGTAACCATAGGGTAATGATTTTATTTCAATATTCAGTTAAACATGAAAACATCTCTTTGGTTAAACCACTCCAATATCTTTTAGAAGCTATCAGATACACAGCTAGCTAGCTAGATACATGTATATGTACACACACATACACATATATATGAATATACAGTCAAATAAAATATCTGTATATTGTACTGTAAAACACAAATCTAAAAAATGCTTTGAATCCTCACATGTACTAGTACATAAGAAAAAAGTTATTGAAAGATAAATATTCCTATAAATCCCATATACAATCTTGGGCAGAAGTGATAAGCCCATAGAATTTAACAGATGGGAATGCTTTCAAGCCCAAAATCTTAAAGATGAACTAATAACTCTAATTCACACCTAGGAAACCTCTATTATAAAAAAACCTGACTTGTTAAGCATAAAGGGTAACCAAAGCCAGATGATGAGTCAGATGCTGATTACTATGACAAAATGTCAGGATCAAAGGATGGTTTACAATCATACTAAAACAGAGAGGTCATAAAAGCAGATCTTCAGAAAAAGGCAAGCATTAATAGACAGTAATGAAAGAACAATAAGGCAAAGGCTACCAAAGGCAAGTTATTACAGGTTATAATTAGACGACGACTAGGTTGTGAGGTAATTCCACGATCTCAAGAAAACAAATTTTAATGTTTAAGTTATAACAATGACCCAAGAAAGAAATGCAAATCAGATAGTTACAACTCATTTAACTTTTTTTTTTTTTTTTTTTTTTGAGAGCTAGAGCAGGGGAGTCTGGACACTTTTTCTATCAAGAGCCACACAGTAAATGGTTTAGTCTTTGAAGGCCATGCGGTCTCTTTGGCAACTACCCAGCCCTGCTGATGGACTGCAAAAGCAGCCAGACAGCATGAAAACAAATGAGTGTTGTTGTGCTTCTATAAACCTTTGTTTGTGAACCCTGAAGTTTGCCTTTCATGTAATTTTCATGTGTTACAAAATACTATTCTTCTTCTAATTTCTTCAATCATTTAAATATGTAAAAACCGTTCCTAGCTTACGGGCTTGTACAAACACAGGTGGCAGGCCCTTCGTGGCCCATGGGCCATAGTTTGCCTACCCCTGAGCGGGAGGCATATCCAACTGTGCTGCAGAAAAACAAATGTCATTGTAGCAAGGCCATGTATAAACAGAGAGATTACAGCCTTGACAGCTCAATCCTTCAAGATGTGTTTAGATTATATGTGATACAGAACTGAGCTAATACCAACATAAAATATCATATAAGCAGACTAGTAACACTAGAAACTTTGAACATTATGTCTATTTAACCCCCCAAAGAATGATCTGATGAAAAATTAGTGAGACCAAGTATTATTTCAAATCCTAAACTGACTTTTCCATTAAGTAGTTGTTGATAACTTACATGACCTGCCAACAGCCAGATGATGCCTTAGTTTTCTCATTAAAATAGTGCTAATATCCCCTCATGAATATAAGTGTCGCTGCAGTAGTAAACATAAAATAATATTTTATAAAAAGCACTTTAAAAAAAGATTGTATTTACTCATTTTAGAGAGAGATATAGAACATGAAGTGGAGGGGATGGGCAGAGGGAGAGGGAGAGAGAATCTCAAGCAGACTCCCTGCTGAGCATGGAGCCTGATGCAGGCTTGATCCCATGACCCAGAGATCATGACCTGAGCCGATATCAAGAACTGGATGCCCAAGTGACTGAGCCTCCCAGGTGCCCTAGAAAGCACTTTGAAAAGAAAAAATATTAGGTATTGTTATTTAAACTATCTTGAGAAATATCCTTTTACCTCTGAAAAAACAGGAACAATAATGAAGATTAAAGAACTCTATGCTTCATTTACAAATTGGGGGTGTAAGATACCCTCAGATGGATCACCTCACCTGCTCTCATTTCCCCCTTTCAGAAAGTCCCAACAGTCTGAACTCAAGACATGGTATGTGGCTTGTAGGTCTGTCCTTGTACTTTGTTATAACAAAAGCTTGAACAAAGTATATTATAAAATATAGAATTCAAGTTACTAAGCTATACAATGAGAGGCTACACAAATATATAAAAAGATAATCCTGGAGAATAGACTTTAAAAAATTCATTAGGAATACATCTACAAGGGGTGCCTGGGTGGCTCAGTTGTTAAGCGTCTGCCTTCGGCTCAGGTCCTGAGCCCAGGGTCCTGGGATCGAGCCCCGCATTGGGCTCCCTGCTCAGCGGGAAGCCTGCTTCTCCCTCTCCCACTCCCCCTTGCTTGTGTTCCCTCTCTCACTGTGTCTCTGTCAAATAAATAAATAAAATCTTAAGGAAAAAAAAAAGAAATACAGCTATAAGATATTCTGCACATAAAAGAGGTACACTATTCAACTCACCTGTGCTTTCTCCTGATGTTTTATCAGCACTGTTGTTATTTGTACCACTGGGGCGAACTATACTGGAAGAACTTTGATAATTGAGCTTAGGAAGACAATCAGCACTTCCTTTTGCACTCTCACTCTCTGACACTGTAAAGATTAAAATGAAATTGTTAAGATAAAAGCTATATAGAAGCTATTTAGCTTTTATTTACTTAGCTATTAAGCTATTATAGAAGGCATAAAGAGAAGTAGCTTTTAGTTGTAAATATTTCTATCTGATAATAGGTGATAAGAAAATACCAAACACCTCTATATCTATTTGCTGATCACAAGTAAATGATTCCACTTATTTGAGGCTTTAAGATGTGTATCAAATTACTAAGTACTGGTCATGCGTGAGGTCCATACATACATTTTATATTTCTTCTTTGGTTGTGAAACACTGCTTTTGATGGAGGTAGGCAAGGGAGGGAATAGAGTCACAGACCATTAACAAAAACATTAAATAAAAATACTGTTAAACCTTAGAAAAGAGTCACTGTTTGAAGAAATACATGTATTTCTACTACAAGAAGAGTAGTAATTGATTGGAGAGTGTTGTGCCACTGAGGCTATACACTTCACACATAAAGTTTTGGTGTGTTGGAACATTAGGTGGTGAAGAGGGCCTGTAATGGGAGCAAAGACAAGTTATAATGGGAAAGTGGAAAATAAAATTAGTACTTTTATACTTAAAGCCACTTGTATTTTCTGTTAATAGAAGTTCACAGGGGCCCCCGGGTGGTACAGTCAGTTGAGTGACTGGCTCTCGGTTTCAGCTCATCTCAGGGTTGTGAGATGGAGTCCCGTGTCAGGCTTCACGCTCAGTGTGGAGTCTGCTTAAGATTCTCTCTCCCTCTTCCTCTGCCCTACCCTTCCTCCCCATGCTCTCTCTCTTTCTCCAAAATAAAGAAATAAAATCTTTTTTTAAAGATTTTATTTATTTATTTATTTGAGAGAGAGAGAGAGAGAGAGAGAGAGAAACAGCATGAGAGGGGAGAGGGTCAGAGGGAGAAGCAGGCTCCCCGCCGAGCCAGGAGCCCGATGTGGGACTCGATCCCAGGACCCTGGGATCATGACCTGAGCCGAAGGCAGTCGCTTAACCAACTGAGCCACCCAGGTGCCCCAATAAATAAATCTTTAAACAAAAAAGGCTCACAAATTTATACAATATCAACTTAAGTAATACCTACGGGAACTAGAATCACTCCCTTTCTTATCTTTTTCTTCTTGAATTTCCTCAGTAGATATATCCCCTCTTCTAACTTCATCCTTAGATAATGAATTATATCCAAGATCAGACTGGCCACCTATGAAAGAGAAAGAAAAAAAAAAGAAAATCCCTATGCTGTTTATCATAAACTTCTTTAGTGAGAACAACTGGAATTAGGAGCAACATATTAGTGTCCAGGTTTACTTATGAGAAGTTTTCTGAATAATATCCAATTGAAAGCATTACTTTGTTAGCCCTCCTTCCCCATCTCTATTAATGCAAGAGAGGGATGATCTCAAAGTAATTTGTCTTTGGCTCCACATTGCAGTCAAGAGTGACTATGTACATTCACACTACTGTCTGGGCTCCTAAAGATACAGACAAACCAGACATTCTTTAAGCCTATGACCTTTCTAGGTGAAAGTCAGAGTTCCAACTAAGCAATGCAGAAGAAAAATCTGCAGGGAATTCAGAACAGGACATTCACACATAGATCACTGGAGCCAAATGTCTAAATGATTCCCCTGAAGAAAATGGGTTTATTTAAATTTACTGATAGGTAATTGCTTTCTCTGAAAATTCAATTGAATAATTATTGAATTGCACTTGAGTATAAATACATGGGAGTGAGGAAAAATTAGTGTTACTGTTAAGAAAGCAAACATTGCACTGATATAAGAAAACTTCTAATTCTGTTCAAGAGGCCCTCTGTAATTTTCTGCAAACTGTTTTCACTAGATTAGCATCAAAACATAAGGTTTTAAATCCTAGTTCTCCATCTTAGGAGACATGATTTTAAGCAAACCACTTAACCTTTTGGTTTGGATTTCAAGTCCCCAGATTTATAACAAAGTATGGTTATGATTATATGAGACAGACTATATATGGAATGAGTTTATAAACTGGTAAAGAACTATGTAAAGAAACTGTATTAAGTATCACTAGGTATTTAATATCTCTTATGAGTTTGTATTTTTTCTAAACAAACTTTTGGCTCTGTTTCCACAGAAAATATAAATTTAAAAATATGAAGATAATCTTGATGAAATTCATGCTTTTATTAGATTCTGCATGCTTTAAAATAGACTTTTTAAAGACCATAGTTAAAAACAAAAGATAGAGGGACACCTGGCTGGCTCAGTTCGAAGAGTGTGTGAATCCTGATCTTGGGGTTGTGAGTTTGAGCCCCATATTGGGTGTAGAGATAACTTAAATAAAAATGAGACTAAAAAAATTGTTTTCTTCATTTTTAAGAGAGAATGCCTGAGGATGACTACTATAACTCGGATGAAATTCACATTGCATGATCAAAAAATAAAACGAGCCAAAGAAGAACTATGAAAATTACATTTCAACACAATTTGTTTACACTTATTACTCTTAAAAGTAGGCAAAAGAGGAGACAGACCAAAATAATGTTACCATTTGCAGAGACAGAAGCCTTCATATTTCATTAGTAATGCTTGGATTTTTAAATTTAAAATTTCTGTCTGTTAAGAGGTGGCTCTTAACTCTGTTCAAAAGTCATGGGATGCCTGAGTGGCTCAGTCAGTTAAGCGTCTGCCTTTGGCTCAGGTCATAATCTCTGGGTCCCGGGATCGAGCCCTGAGTCAGGCTCCCTGCTCAGTGGGGAGTTGGCTTCTCCCTTTCCCTTTGCTCTCCCCCTCCCCCCACCGCTTAGGCACTCTCTCTTAAAAAAAAAAAAAAAGTCGTGTCTTTTTTTAATGTACTAATGAAAAGGACTGAATTATTCAACAAATTGTGTCAGTTTTAATTCTTAGAGAAAACTTATGTTCAAATCTGATATTTTAATGAATTTAAGAGCATCTTCAGTGCTAGAATGCTACAAGTTTTATATGAATTTGCAAGTTTATTATACCTTTTTAATATAGCTTAAAACTCACAAGAAATTGTAAAAATAATATAGTACAGAGAGTTCCTGTGTCCTGTTCACTCAGCTTCCCTCAATGATACTACCTTACATGAAACATAATACACTGTTAAAACCAGGAAGTTGACGCTTATATGTACTATTAACTCCAATCAGGGCTATAAGTTTCTTTTTTTAAAAAAAAACTCTAATAACATTTTCATAATTACAAACAAGAATTTACCCTAAGAAAGTGACATGATACATCCATGAGCTATCCAGAGTTAATTGGGTTACCATGGACTAAATACTTGAATAAACTCTCTTACACTTTTATTTCTATTCCAATACAGAATGAATAAAATGGCACATAGTTATTAGACACAATATCAAACCAAGTGCCTAACACAATATCAAACCAAGTGCCTAACATATATAATTAAAAAGTGACAGTTAACCTAAATACACCACTGAGAATTAAAATCTAAAAAAGACAGGCTAGCAAATCTAATTTTTAAACTGTACTGTAATAAATGTATACATAAGCACACACAAACCTGTACTAGATCTATCATCAGTAGCATACACTTTGATTAAACCCGTATTAAAAGGTGCCTGCTCCACAGTGTGTGTCCCATGACCACTATCCATGCTGCCATGACTAACAGCATCCAGGTCACTGCCATCTGCTTAAGAACACAATTTGACAGCATTTTACTACTCAGGCAGATACCAAAATACACATTAGTTTGTTGCTCAAGCTAATAATCCACTCATACTGAACACGAACATGCCACATAATTAGCAAAATACAACCATAACAACTGTAACGATTGTGAATTATTAATGGATACTAAAACAAGATCATCAAAGGGTGATAATTTAACAGTTAAAGAAAAAAAGTGACTGAAGGTATTTTTTAAATGGGAAAATAATATTAGAATTTGCTTCATGGCAGTAAAAACTAGAAATTATTAAATATTTTGAAACTATTTAAAATTTCTAAAAAATGTAAATTATAACTAGTCAATTAATTTTTTTTTACAAAGTAAAACAAATACATCCCCTAAGAACTTTTAATTACCTGAGAGAGTTGTTTGTGATAAGTGTGCGTGTTTCTTTAAAGCTCTTTTGAACTGTGCGACTCCTAAAACAACGTTTCTTACTTTTGTCCAAAGAAAGTAGCCACTACGACTTCTCGAAGGCCAGGTACTTTCTAAAACAGCCTATTAATTCAACAAAATAAAATAATTAGTAAAATAAAATGTATCAGTGAATGCACGTTGGCTTTATAGTAAAGCTAAAGAATATCTAAATACATTGTATAAAAGCAAAATAGAACAAAAAAACTTACTTGATTTACAGAATATATACATATATATATATTTAAAGATTTTATTTATTTATTTGACAGAGAGAGATACAGCGAGAAAGGGAACACAAGCAGAGGGAGTGGGAGAGGGAGAAGCAGGCTTCCCACCAAGGCCGATGCTGCGGGGCTCGATCCCAGGACCTGAGCCCAAGGCAGACCCTTAATGACTGAGCCACCCAGGTGCCCCTTGTAGCTGTATTTCTAATGAATTTTTTAAAGTCTATTCTCCAGGATTATTTTTTTATATATTTGTGTAGCCTCTCATTGTATAGCTTAGTAGCTTGAATTCTGTATTTTATAATATACTTTGTTCAAGACACTTAACGACTGAGCCACCTAGGCGCCCCCAGAATATATTTTAATACTCCAAAATCAATGCCAAATAAAGCCCAAATCAATTATTTCTGCCATTATATTAAGGTTGTATAGTCACAAAAGTTATACTCATTCTCCCATTAAATCAAAGTAAATACCTTATTATAATAACCATAAGTGATGGCATTGGGGTCAATACCAGCTTTCTGCATTTCAAAAAGCACTCGAACCGCAAGCACTGGCTGATCATACTGCCCACAGAGCTGCATAAGAATGCGGTAGCACACCTGAAACACACAGTTCAGAAGTGTTCGGAAACAAAGTATCTACGAACATAGATCTAGAATAAAATAGTGCACTTTTAAAAAGAATTGTTACCTCATCAGGTGGATCCATCTTTTTGGACTGCATTTTTTTAAGCACATCATATGCTGTTTTCAGTGCCCTGACTTTTGAATGACATACTTTCACATAAGCTGGCAGACAAATAAACCACAGTCCATAGCAGTGGCGCAGGAGACACCTAGACCACATTTGAGGAATGGAAGAATACCTCTTGGCAATTTTATGGGCTGATTTAATTTCCTAGAAAAAAATGCAAGGATCTCATTAATAAACTGACACACTTAAGGATCCTTATTTAACTGAATGCTGAACAAGTATAGGTCATACGCTTTTATAGTACTTCCCTAACAAAATCTGTCTATAATTAATACAGATTCAAGCAGAGGCTTATAAAATATGTGAAATAAAGTTCTAAGATAAGAAAACTAGTTAATTTTTTGAAGTCACATTACTCTAAATTATTTTTGGGATGTTCTGAGGAGAATAATCTAGTCATACATATGGGATAGTAAAATATATTAAGGGAGGATGAGTGTCATATTTATTTTTGTTCTAATACTTGATTACATGAAAAATGCAAAATTGTCAAAGCACCTGTTTTGTTCTTCTGAACATGGGAGAAGGGCTGCTAGGACTACTTGATTTTGAAGGCAATTTGTTCTTTCGTGTTTGTAGAAATCCTTCAGGTCTCTCAAATAAATTGTTTCTAAGAACTGGAAATCCATTATAGCTGTTTTTGAAAAGAAAAAAAAATCTCAAGCACACATAGATGATCATACTGATCACAATCTAAAAAAAATTCTGACCAGTAACGTCTTAACTTAGAGTCTATTTTAATTTTCTTTCTCCATCAGACTATGATATAAACTTAACAAATATTCGTGCTAATGTTGCCTTTCTTGCTATCATATTTAGAAATGTTAACAGCCAAATACAAACTCAAGTATATATTTTAGAGGTAGAAAAGTGAAAGATTTAAATTTTGCTGAACTTGACATCAAGCCCTAAAGTAACTTTGTAAGTTAGTATTCACATAAATACACAGCAAACATATCAGATAATATGACAGCTGGTAAAGGGCCCCCAAATCAATACTCTTTCAGACAGGATAGTCATTAGTATTATTGCTTTAGGTTAAGATATTACTATAGAACCGTCCTCTTCAAAAGATGCAAATAACGTATTAGCACATTCCAAGACAAACTGATATTATTATGAATTGGTTTATCAGGTTAGCTAAGCAGGTTCTGGCTCTTATTTGTGAGAAAGAAAACTGAATAGGTTGGAGAAGAAGAAGAAAAGATTAGAATGAGTGGCCCTATGAGGAAGTGGGTCTAACTGGGGTGCTAGAACAAGGTGTTTGGGAACGTAAAAGGTAGCTGCAGCTAGGAAAAAGACATGCTGAAAAGAACAGAAGAAGCCCCTGAGCATCAAACTGAACCTAATGTATAATCTTCCTAAAGGCATAGCAATAGTTTCCATTAACTGAGAAGAAAACCAGCTATAATAAAAGATGGTAAACTGTATCTATTATATTACTACAGGCAAATTCAGTAGGGTAAAAAATAAATATTAAATGTTAAGTAGGAATAAAATAGCAAAGAAGTTCAGGAAAACTACGTCCTGTAAAAAATTCACTGTATGTACATGGTGTGATAATAAGACCATTCTGTGTGCCTTATGGAAACTTATTACCCTATCATTTCACACAGACAATGTAAGAACGAGTCACCTCTCACTAAGAGGACCCACTGTGCACACTGTAGACATTTAAGCTGTGTCTCCAATGATGGGTGTGATTACACCAAAATTTTATTGTTAGTCTTAACTTAAAAAGTGACTTAGATTCTTTTAAAAATGGGAACTTTCTAAGCTAAGTAATTTTTTTTTATTAGAGGACTAAATCTAAAAGTAAAGTTTAAATTAAAAAAAAGTTAAAACCAAGGCATAAAAAGAAAAACAAAACTATATTAGTGAAACCTGCTCCTAAATAAATCTTAGAAGTATAATGTACAAAAGAGATCAAAGAAATGAGATCCTGTTTAGAAAGAAAAAGAAGCAAGAAAGAGAGAAATTAGGAGATTTTAAACACCTTTGACAAAAGCCAGAATTTTAAAAAGTGATCTGTGCAACATCATTAATAGACGAAAAGTAAGGGCAGGAACCAAGTGGCCTATGAATTAATCAACAACATTCACAAACACCTGTTGCACCACTTTTTCATCTGTAAAAGGAAGAATTTAATCCGAGTTATAAATGAGGGTGTCCTGAAAAATCCTTTTTCAATGAAAATAAACTGTGACCTAATGAACGACAGATGTGAAATGGTTTTAAAATCTTTAAAGTAAGAAAGTATTACTGGAGAAAGAAATTATTTAAAATCTAAAAGGAAGTGCCATTTTAAGTAAAAATAAATGCATACTGGAAACCATCTCTAGTAGATAACAAATGTATGTGTATAATATACATCTAGATAGATACACAGATGTATAATAAGTCTACCTCTATGATAACCTTATTTTACTATGCTCAGAACTTTTTTTTCCCATTAGACTTGAAAGCAGGAACAACGTATCATTCAAGTCTATATACCAAGCACTTAGCTCAGCATCTGACCAAATTTCCTAAGTTAACTGATTGATTCCCAATAGTTCTGAATTTCCATGACTTAAATAAAAACTCACAGAAAAATTGATAGCCTAAAAAATTACATTATCAAAATTAAGGCCACAAATATTGACTCTAAATTAGATTTAATCCTGTTGTAAACCAAGGTTACATTAATCAGTATGTGTGTGGGAAAGGGGATGAAAGTGAGAGGATCAGCTTTAGTGAGAAACAAAAATCAAAATCTATAATACAAGTGCTGCATTTTGGTGGGGTGAGGCCCTAACTGAGTTCAACCAACATTTATGAGAACAGATACTTATGTAGATAAAGAGAGCTTCCCAAGTCTATATTATGCAAAATTATAATTCTTTTCTCTTTATACCTCAAAACTTAATAATGGATGTGGGATAAGCTTGCTTACCACCTAAAAATTAGGAATCTGTAAAGTTTGGATTTTTGAAAATACCACAGTCCTTAGAAAGCTACGTCACAGATGATGGATTGCTTCTCTCTTTCAATCTCAAACATTCTGCCTCTTGAATACCTGTACTGTAAAGGGGGTTCTTCACCATTGGGTAGATGGGGGATCTCAGGTGGTGTTACAAAAACAGTATGTTCACTTTTGAAAGATTCATCCAGTTCTATAAGTCGCATTTCACCACTCTTGTCCATATCCACCTGAAAAAGTTTAAAAAACATACATTAAAAGAATACATTGGTTAGCCAAGAGTTTGTCTATGGGGAATGGTTAAATAAACCATTTACATAACTGGATATTAAAGAACTGTTAAGAAAAAAAAATGAGCAAGTTCTCTATGCACCACTAAAAAAGATTTCCAAGATAATTAAGTAAACATAACAAGATGTAGAACACTGTATATATTATCTTTTGAGTAAAAAAGAGGGGAAAAATAAAAACACACATTCATTTTTTTTTCTTGTATTCACATAAGGATATACTAAAGAATACTATGAAAAGTAATTTCCCATATGGGGAAGGGGTGATGAATGGAATGGACAAAGATGAGATAGGACCCAGATTTCCCAATGTATACCTTTTTACATTATTTTGCATTTTGAATCATGAGAATATACTCAAGAAGTAACATTTTTTAAAAATGCACAAACACGTGTGTATGTGTTGAGAATACCGAGTTCTAGATCTCATTTATACTAAGTATAACATATTTCTCAAAGTTTTTCCAGTTTACGTAGAAGCAGATTTGAGTTAAAATTCCAGTCACATCAGTATTGAAAGCACTTTAATAGTACAATCTCCCCTAGATACTCTATGGCAAGGTAATATTCATAAAAAATGAAAACTTAACAGACTCTAAACTGCCCAAAAGGAGCTCATAAACTAACAAGCACAACATTGGCATTAAAAAAAAATTAAAAACAAACAAAAAAACCCACCAAGATGTCATACATATGACAAAATATAACCCATGGCACTCGGTATTCTAGGCACTCAGTATTCTAGGTTAGAGAGAATATCATATTATCAGTCAGAAATAAATGGGAGAACAAGAATTATTAACAAGTTAACTCTTTAAGATAAGGATTTAAGGCACAATATACCACAAAAGGACAGGTATAACTTTTAAATTTTTCTAATTCTTATAAAAAAAAGCTGGACATTCAGAGTGTTCTTACATAAATTGTCAGTTATAATTTCACAGTATTACATGCTATAATCTCCAAGATTAAAGAAGTTCTTAATGATATATCCATATAGTAAGCTAGAAAACAATAAAGATGTTTCAGAATAACAAATGACATGAAAAATGTTCACAAAGTAATGATAAATGAAGAAAACCCATACTACATATATTTTGATTCTAATTTTTTAAAAGAGTGAATAGGTATGCCATATATACACATGTATATACATATACATATTCATGTTTTTCTCTCACACATGTATACTCTTATCAAAATGTTACCTCCGGGTAATGGTGTAACTGCAATGAACTGTCTTCTTCCTTATATTGTTATTTTCCAATTAAAAAATATGTATTAGTTTTATTGGTTTTTTCAAAAATTACAAAAGTAATAAACCCTTAGAATAAAAATTTAAGCAAGGTAGAATATATTGCTTTTAGAATAAGGACTTATTTCAATTCTGTTGAAGGACAGTTAAAAATCTGTAAACAAAAGGTACCTTTCTTTCTAGCCTGTCAAAAAAGAACTTTTATATGGTGAAATTAGCAAGGATACAGTAAACTGGATAATCACATACCCTGCTGGTACTCAAAATTGGTAAAGATATGTTTAAACACATCTGCCTTATTCTTATTCTAAGGAAATAACCTAACATGAGAAAAAAACCTATCAGCATGAAAGATTTTTTTTTTCAGGATTGCAATAGCAATACATTGGAAGTCACCTATATTTCAAAAAACAGGTAAATGAATGAAGTATGATAAATAGATGAAATATACAATCATTAAAAAATTAAAATAGTAAAGATCACGAGGACTTCTGGTTGAACAAGACAAATTAAACACAACAATTTACCTTCACTCCCTCTTGAAATCTCACCAAACTGAGAAGGGGATTAAAAAAAAAAAAACCCAGCAAAGACAAAATGAACTGGAGAGAGGACAATAGCACAGATGGAGTTCAAAACATTTTAGAAGCTGCAAAGTAGATTGTGTGACCTGTGACCTGTGAAAGCCGAAAGCCACAGATCTGGCACGGGGGAGGAGATAAAGGAGAAAAAGCCAAAACTCTAGCCATTTTGCTGTGTAGAGTCCCAGAAAGGTCAGGAATGAAAAGTGCTCGATGACCTTGAAGATGGCAGTGCACATGGAGCTGAAGCAGGAGAATTAGTTAAAAGCTTACGTTTAAGGACTCCCAGATCCCTGACCCAACCCAGTATTAGGCCACTACCTCTCCCCAATGTGGCCACAGACGAGGTTGGGTCTTTCTGTGTGAACCAGAAGGACTCTAGACTTGAGGACACCAGGCAGAGCTGTGGGAGATGAAGGTGGCTAATAAAAACAGGTGAAGTGAGTAAAAGCCTACATGTTACAACAAGGGAAAACCTCAGTTACCTTCCCCACTCTGCTGTGAGAATATTGGCAATCAGGCTTACACTCCTCAGGCTAAAGACTGGAGATAACCTCTTGGGGAAACTAAGCAGCCTAAAAAAAAGAATTACAGACACCGATCAAACAGGGACTCTAATGATATAGCTGAGTTCCTTTATGATCATCAGTCTCAAACCTAAGGAAGCTCCAAACCTCACCTTCCCATTAAAGCTCCACTGAGTTCTTTATGCCTCATTCTTGAAATACCGACCAAAGATCACACAAGGAAAACTAATAACTTGAAGGAAAATAAAACAAATATTAAAAACAACATTTGAGCAAGAAGAAGCAGAGACAATGCAGGGGGAAAAAACTGCTCAAAATAACTAAAACGAATAAGCCTACATCCATGAAAAGAAGATGCTATAAAAAAGAGACGTAGGGAAATTATAAATATGACAGAAGTAAAAATTATACTACAGAAGTTGGAAAATAAACTTGAAGAAATCTCCCAGAAAGTGGAGATGAAAGACAGACAGAAAATGGGATGAAGGTGCATGCCTGGGTGGCTCAGTCGTTAAGCGTCTGCCTTTGGCTCAGGTCACGATCCCAGGGTCCTGGGATCGAGCCCCGCATCGGGCTCCCTGGTCCGCGGGAAGCCTGCTTTTCCCTCTCCCACTCCCCCTGCTTGTGTTCCCTCTCTCACTGTGTCTCTCTCTCTGTCAAATAAATAAACAAAATCTTAAAAAACAAAAAAAAGAAAGAAAGAAAATGGGATGAAGGGCGCCTGGGTGGCTCAGTCGTTAAGCGTCTGCCTTTGGCTCAGGTCATGGTCCCAGGGTCCTGGAATCGAGCCCCATATCAGGCTCCCTGCTCTCTGGGAAGCCTGCTTTTCCCTCTCCCACTCCCCCTGCTTGTGTTCCCTCTCTCGCTGTGTCTCTCTCTGTCAAATAAATAAATAAAATTAAAAAAAAAATGGGATGAAAAAGTTAAGAGGATCAGGATAGGAAGGTCAATATCCAAACAATATATACTTCAGAAAAAGAGAACCAAAGAAATGGAGTAAAGAAAGAAATGGGATGCAAGAAAATTGCCCAGAATCTGAAGAAAATGAGTCCACAAAGTAAAAGGGCCTACACGAACTCAACTCAATGAAGAAAGGAAGGCCTCCACCAGGCATATCCTTATGAAACTTTAGAACATCAAGGATCTTAAATGCTTTCAGAGAGAAAAAGAGATCAGGCACAAAAGGTCAGAAATCAACATAGCATTAGACCAGATGTTATTCTCAACAATAACATTCAAAGCTAGAAGATTTTAAAATTTTACATCCAACCAAATTAGCAATAAAGTATTAAGAGAATAAAGACATTTACAGACAGGTAGGGCATCAAAAAATGTTTATATCCCACATACTCTCTCTCACTAAGCTACTGGAAGATGTGCTCCATCATAAAAAGGAGAAGCAGGGAGTCTGATGAAGAGGGAGCCCGACTGGGGGGAAGGGGGGCTGATCCCCGGATCCTTAACCAACTAAGCCACCCAGGTGCTCCTAAATTTCCAGCCACTTTGTTCACATAGAAAAAAACCTGTGTATGAGGACAACTGCTCTAATTCTCAGTACTGTCAAGTCTATTAAAATATTAAAATTTTGCACTGTAGATTCAGTACCCTGGGAAAAGAGAGTTTCCTTAACTTGTATACCAATAAAATCACATTTCAACATTATAAAAACATCCATGTTATATACAACCTACATGTATCAGTTGGCCATTTCTGTCTTTTGGAAAGCACAGTGACATCTGCCCATTGGGAGAAAAAGAAATCCAACACCCACGACAGGATAAAATTAAAGTAATTTTCATATTCTCTTCATATTTTTTCCACAAGACATTAATATACTTAGAGAACACTGCAGAGGGATGCTTGGAAGACTAAGAAAAATCTTACCAGACTATTTGTTACACAAACCTGCCCTTAGTTAAGAACCCTCCTATAGGAACAGATTGTAAGGATTTAAAACATAATCATACGAAGAACAAGAACACATGGTTCTTAAATTAGTCATAAATGAAACTCAAATAATTCTCATACATTGTTTTTCTTATTCCTATTCAGCACTACCCACTCTAGCTTTTTAAAGTTGGGCAAATGTTTTCTGCTTGAATATGCTAAAATCAAAAGAGGAATATGTCAGGGCGCCTGGGTGGCTCAGTTGTTAAGCATCTGCCTTCGGCTCAGGTCATGATCCCAGGGTCCTGGGATCGAGCCCCGCATCGGCAGGAAGTTGGCTTCTCCCTCTCCCACTCCCCCTGCTTGTGTTCCCTTCTTGCTGTGTCTCTTTCTGTCAAATAAATAAATAAAAAATCTTAAAAAAATAAATTAAAAAAAGAGGAATATGTCTAATTCCTATTCAATCTTAGTCATGGATTGACTTAGGTAGTTAACGTATATATATTATTATCTATATATAACTTATATAAAATACTTATATATAAATGTATAATATGTAATTTATATATAAATATTACTTATTTCCCATAGCTAAATTGCCAGAGGTAAAAGGATCTGTTCACTTAAAAAATTAAGTTAAAAGTCACCCAACTAAGAAATAACCCTACATAAATGATTATTTTAAAAGTA